ATTCCAGAAAAAATTCTTGGAACACCACGTAGATTATCAGTTTCCCCTATTCTTGAAATAATGCAGGTTCTTCAACTGCCTTATCATCGTGAGACTTTATCAAATCCTGGAAATATTGTAAGGTAGGTTATTACCAAATATCAGTTCAATTTGCTTATTTTTTTGGTAACACATATACTAACCTTGATGAACTTTCCATCAAAGTGTAACTGAACCTTTTGATTATTATGTTTAATTTCATTTTGTATGAGAATCTTTACACTGCCTGCATCTTGGTTAATGATATTATTTTTCATTCGAAAAGCTAAGAAAAGTGGAAATTTATTTGGATCTCCTCCTGCTTCTGTAATCAGCTAAATTAATTTTTCAGCCATTTTATGAGCTGATATATCCAAAACCAGAGCAGTTTTGATGGTTTCCTCAATAACTTCTTTAGCAACAGTAATGATCTGATCCTGTCTTTTGTTTTTCAAAACAGGTATGAATTCTTTCTCTGAGTTAGACTCAGAACTTTATTCTGAAGAAAATATGATTATATGACGATGATTATTTTGCTGAGGTACTAGGAACAGACTCATCTTTTGTATATCTAATAACAGTAACTGATTTCTTTGCACGCTCCGTTCTCCTTAATTTGATCTACTTTGCTTGTCAATAGGTGCAACAATCATTTTCCTTTCTCCCATCTGATCCTTCAGAAAAAGTATACCCTCATACTTGTCAAATGGAAGCCTTGTCTGATTTGATACCTTTTATCAGAATTTTCTTTGTATCACTCAACCAGAACAGTCCTAATCATAAAAAATCATTTTAAAGCTTCTCAAGAAAATTAAATCTTGATTTTTTAAATATTAAAACATTTTCAGAAAACACTAATTTGTAATAAATAAGAAAAAATTATTTTTAAAAAGATTGATAAATAACCTCTCAATGATCTCATAAACTGCACATGTGATTGAACATACTCTCTCTGGCTCTTATGCAGGCTCTTCTTAAAGATTAAATATCTGTCAATATATTTTGATATATTCCTTTTAAGGGTAACAGGTCCAATCATTGGAAAACTTGATCTTAGCCATCAAAACCATAGTGAGCCTAGAATACATTCCTCACTGCAAGGAGAATCCACATATACACTACACACTAAAGCAAAAATAATTTTTTCTTATATTTCTTTCCTCAATTGCATATCAAAAATAAAATAATTTTTTAACAATTGAAGGAATAATATTTAGGGAAATTATTTACAATATTTGCTTACTATGAAAAAAAGCTGAAAAAGTATACTATATTTGTGTTTGGTTTTTTATAAAAAGTTACCTGAAGTTATTATTTAAAAGGCAGGAAACTTATCAATTTGTCTCCGAAGTTGGAACATTCTTCTCCTTCAGGCAGGGAAAGTGCTTGATAACGTCAGCCCTGGTTGGCAGCCTAACTGAGGACATCTTGACTGGTTTACCAACTAAGAAGTATTCCTTTGTACGACAACTTTCTCACCTTTTCCTTGTAAGTTTTGAAACTTTCACATTTTCATTTTCCAATGGAATTTCGTCTTTGTTTCGGACTTTCATTTTTAAAAATAATTTTGAAAATTTAATTTATAAATCAAATTAAATTTATAAATTAAGATAAATGTATGAAATAATCGAGATAACACCTCGTAAATAAAGTTTTGGACAAAATTTTATTTACGAGGTGAAAATAATTTAAATTATTTCAACTGTTAATATGTTAGTATATGTAGTTAATAAATATATTAAAATAATTATTTCAAATACCATATTTAGCAATATAAAGTTTTTTTGAAAGATGTTTTATTTGAGTAAGGAAAATTTTTTTACTCATCTTTGAATAGCAATATCTAATTCTTGCTTCATGTTCTTCCAAATTCTCAGCTCTCCAATTAATCTCGTACACTAGCCCTTTTAAATCCCCCCAGAAGTTTTCAATTGATCCTGCTTCTGGAACGTTAGCTGGGTATATATCTTTGGGTACAACTTTGATTATTTTCAATTTGAAAAAGTCGATGACCGACTTTGCGTATAGTGATCAAGCTAGATCAGAAGATAAGCTCATTGTCTTTTTTTATAGTATACTGATATTAGAGGAAGTAAAGTTTTTTCTAGTATCTCCTTATTAGTGTACTTGTTGATTGCCAGCTTACTGTGATGAATATAAAGAGGGCTTATTCTACGGGGGCTGATGCAACAAGAAGCTAAGAGCTTGTCCTCATACATTTTACGCAAATCTTACTTCGTCAGAACATTGAGAAGAATCAGCGGCATAAAACTTATCATTACCAGCTAATGTGCTATTGTTTAAGGTAAAATAGTTTTAAAAAAGTTAAGTACAAGTATACATAACTTTCGATTTGTAGAGGTTATTGTGTACACTTCATTTATGGATAAATTATTCGTACTATTATTAACTTTTATTTAGCTAATTAAACAATATTACAATTTTTTATATAAGTTAAATAGCATCGTAAACATAAAAAACCTTGATAAAAAACGTTTTTAATTTTTTTTTGTAATATATATATATATATATATATATATATATATATATATATATATATATATATATATATATATATATATATATATATATATATATATATATATATATACTGTTATAATCAGTCAGTGACTCAAAAAAGGTAATAATAATGCGTTTATCATCACAACGTTTCCATAGAGCCCCTTTAGTCATTCATTAAAAGAAAAAACACTTTAAATTTTAAATAAAATAAAAATTCAATAATGCAAAACTTAATGTAAAAAATTAAAATAGAAAAATATTAAAACAAATAAGAAGAAAAAAAAAAGAAAAAATTTAAGTCTGAAAACAAATACTATAAACTATAGTCAGGAATTAAGGAGATGCATTTTAGTTTGTCATTTAAATGATGAAATGGTTTTTAGATCTCTAATATTTTTTTTTGGAAATGATTCTATATTAATGTTTGTATTTAGAAAACCACGGTTTGTATTTAGAAAACTTGACTGCTGTGATTTAATCAATTGTTTAGATTATTGCGAGAAAGGGTGAATTCTCAACTCGATCCTGTTCATCTATGCTATAATATGAAAAAAATCCTACAATACATAAATTATTGGGTGGACATGGGGGAGGATGGGAGGGAGAGGTATTTAGAGGATATGTAATCCCTACCCCTTCCAAAAATGAAAGATTGTAATTGCAACAAAATAATATACATTTTAATTATGTATGGCAGTAAGTTTGAGTTGATAACTATGTTAGTATTGAAGTCAAGTTGGACCACTGCCCTCCCCCACCATATGAGATGTGGGGAGGCTTTGCCCAAGATTCACAGATGTATATTTTAAATCTAACATCTGACATCTGTAACTTTAAGGAGCTTACACACAAAATTTTAGGTTGCTATCACTGTTCATGCTGTGCCAAAACCTGTATGGTTTTAGTGATTGATTGACCTATTTTTTTTCGCGTAACGTCAAAAAAATAGTTTGGTTTAATAAGCTTAATTTTTTCTACAGATCATCTATACATGGTCAAATATAAAATATTTTATATACATGTGTATATTACACTCAGACCCCCAGATATTTGGCAATCTGTAAAAATTTTAAAATTTATAAAAAATGTCGTCTAATTTTTTTTTCACAAAATTAAAATTTTATCCTAAAAACACTTTAAATTTTCCAACGTTTAAGCTTGCATACGTATCAAAAAAATTTTTGGAAACTTTAATACCCCTAATATACATTATTGATAGATTACGAAACTTTTTATTGGATATTTTGTTTCTTAAATAGTTTTTTACTATCTTTAAATACAGAAAAAAATTGTTCTAAAGTTTTTTTTTTATTTTATAATTTCTTTTAAAATTTTTTTAATATATTGGGACCCTAATGACAGATTTTTTTTAAGGGTGAAGGATGAAGAGAGGGGGGAGAGAGACTAACCACTAGTCACGGTACTGCCTGCATACGTACTTAATGGAAGCTCCTTTAATATAAATCTAATTTTTGTGACTATAATATCATAGCTATAATAAGCTAAAAACTATATTTACCAAAAACTATACAAGGACTGGTTTGACGCGTTGTCATAACTTTGACCTTTAAAATTAGCACTTCTTCTAAAAATTCTCCGGTATGGAAAATATAGATATGGACACTGGTGTAGGAGCAGGAGGGCAGGGGAGGTGGAGGTGCAATAACCCCCTCCCCCAACTAAAATACTAGGGGCGGACACTACATTTAGTACCCCACTTCCTAAACAGTTTAAAAAAAACTTTTATAACAGCAACAACGGAATTATCATTTTCCAGTCTACAATGTCTCAATCACAATTAAAGATCACCATGGAAAAGTATATCTATAAAACTGTTTAAGAGACGATCGCATACTAACTATTTCTTAAATAAATGTGTGCTGGCAAAAAATGACAAACACGTTAAAAAGATGATTAATCATATTGCGTGTGATAAATAACTGCATATATAGATCATTTTCATCTATTTTGCTGTATCATACAAAAATAAGGAACTTTTTCCTTTTTAATATATGTTTTTAGCCCCCTTCTCCCCCCCCCCCCTCCAAGCGCGTGACTTTCAATTTTACTGAATTTTATAGTTTGCATAAATAGCAATATAAAGCTTTACTTATTGGACTGTAACTAATCATTTATTTTTGTTTTTATAAATAAATGTTCTTGCAAGACCCTGTGTATATATCAAATTTATATTTGCGGACAGTTTGTTTTTTTAAATAAAAATTTTCCATCGTATTTGGTAAACAAAGTGGCTATAATGATAAATCAGATTCATAAAAATATTTTGCTTTACTTAGTGCGATTGTTATTTCTATCATTGTTTCTTTCTTTTTTCCTGCAACAATTTGATTGGAACCCTCCACTAAAATTCTGTCATTTCCAATGAAAATATTGATTTTATTGGAAGGATAGTTTCGCTAATATTTTCGGTCTACGTAAAAATCGCTGTGATAATTGTGAACATTATGGAGCAACCTTGTAAAATCCTCGTGTGAAAACAAATATGGCTGATGAACAAGGTGATCAAAAGGCCCACAGGGCTAGACAAGCCGGTCGAAAAGCAGAGAAAAAGAAAGTTAAAAGGCATCATCCTGACGAAAATAGAAATCCTAAAGCATTTGCAATTCAGTCTGTAAAAAAATTAGCAAAGCAAGTGCATCGTACTCTTGATTTAGAAACTAAAAAATTTCATGTTCCATTAGTGGATAGAACTTCATTAGAGCCTCCACCGATTATTGTTGCCATTGTAGGGCCTCCTAAAGTTGGTAAAACTACTTTAATAAACAATCTTATAAAAAGTTATACCAGAGAAAAAATAAGCAATTTACAAGGCCCAGCTACTGTTGTCTCAGGTAATATAAGTGCAAGTGTTTTAGTGTGGTTGTGGTTGTTTTTATTTTTTATGTTTATGTTAACGACTTTAATTTAGACAAGTGTGTTAAAAACTTTAAAGTAATTGAATAACCATATAAATTTGATTTGTATTGACAAATCAAATTTATATTTATAAATGGTTATTCAATTGACAAAGCAGTTTTTTTGTTATGATCTATCAATTTGACTTTTTATTGTAAAGGCATTAAAATAATGACGATTAGATTGTAATACTACTTAAAACAGAATCATTACAATCTCCTATATTAATGTAAATTTATAATATTATTTTAAGATAAGAAAGTGCTCTTGCTTTTTTTTTTGTTATTTAATAAAAGTAGTGGAGCTCACAGTCCAAGTAATAGCGATATTTTATGCTTATTATCAAACACTGTTGTTTTTTTTAGAGTTTTTTGGCTATACAAGTTTAGCAAGTAATGCTGTTTCAAGTCTTTTTTCTTTAGAAGTGTCATTTTGTCTTTTCCAAGTGTCAGATTCAATAAGTTCATGGTCATCAGGATAAGTTTAGCTCTTTAATTATCCAGTGTTTTGACTGTAGATTTTCTCTATTCAATCATTGGTTGCAGTGGCAACCAATAATTGCTGCTGAATGGACAACATTGTTATATAGTTGTCTTTTGTTAAATAGCTGTCTATTAAAATGACATTGCTTTCTGTCTATTAAAATAACATTGCTTTCTAAATTTGTTCAGCTGTTTGAATCACACAGCTGTTTTAAGGTGGACATACTGCTCCTCATTTTTTTTCAAATTATTTACTCAAGGGGTGTTATTAAAACTTTTGAAATATTACAGACAATTCAGACATCAGTTAAGACAACAAAATCGCTAAATAGTGAAAAAAAGGAGTTTGACTGGACATTAGATATATTTATCAATATTAAACATATTAAAGACATGTAAAAATAATTTAAGTTCATGAAGAGAGTTTCACAAAGTTCATAAGCTTAATTGCGTACCAAAATAAAACTAGAGTGTAATTTTGTAACACATTTAAGGTTAAGTGACATAACTTAAGTCATTGCTTAAAAATATAAACAAAAATTCATGCAAAAAACAAATTAAGTGCTAAACATGCCAAGTTTGAAAGTATTTGATAACATAGTTAGAGATATAGAAAATAATTTTTTGAATTTGATATTTATATAAGGTTAAAGTATTACTAATTTCACAGACTTTTTTTTTATTCTGTTTAATGCAAATATTTATTTAACAAGGAAAAATAGATCTTTCATATTTTTTAATTAGAAGATGAAAGTGGTAATATTAAAAAAAAAAACATTATTTTAAAGTTATTGAATTTTTATGCGGAAATAGTTCTTTTTTTTGTGCTAAACTCATGATGTAATGCCTATTTTTATATTGTGTGAAACAACCGTGATCAACAACTGTTAAATATTACTTGACAGTTATGATTGATTTTTTTTGGTTTTATATTTTCTGGTCACAAAATTAATATTTCAGCAACTGTCTGTTTTTTTTGTTTTTTTTTTTTTTTTGAAGCACTTTGTTGATAGCAAACTTTAAGGATTCTTTAAAGAGAAAAAAAAAGAGATTTTATAACTAAACATTTTTACTCAAATCCATTCAAGTTTTTTTTCTCATAGATTATAGGAAATTTGTTTTTTGTTTTTAAAATTTTATAACATTAAGTATTGTTCATACTTTATATGTTATAACTTTATATGTTGTAACTCATATGTTATAAAGTTGTTTTTATTATTACTTTTTTATTATTATTATTTATCAATATGGATAAAGATTATTATTTGTTCTATATCAATAACTATTTGTTCAATATTGATAAAGATTATTATATTGTGATATTTTAATTTTTTTTTTTTTGTTTAAATATGATATTTTTATTTAGGAAAGAAGCGACGAATTACTTTTATGGAGTGTAATAATGATATAAACTCAATGATTGACATAGCAAAAATTGCTGATTTGGTAAGTTTCCTAGATTTATTTTTGCAATTTGAGTATTTTTGAAACAGTCAATTAAAATATTTTATTCAATAAATTTATGTAAAGTTTTAAGGTCGATTTTTTTATGTTGAATTCAATAAATAATTTTTATTTTATTATTACTATTTTATATAATTAACCATTTTTAGTATAACTACTTTTAATTTGCTTTTAATTCAGACATAAAATGTATTTATTATGAGAAAAAGTAAAGTTTACTTAACAAGCATATATATAAATCAATGTTAGTTGTTTAATAAAAGTAAACAATTAACATCAAAGGCATCACAGCTTCTGTTATAAAGGTATATTTTATTATTATGACAGCAAGGATTTTAGGTGAACCTAGCACAGCCTTACATAAAAGTAAAACCAAATATAAATTATTAGGAATAGTTTTTTCCAATAGCAATGAGGATTATGCATTTATAAACTTTATTATGTGTTTCTATAATAATATAAAGTTAACAAAAAAATTAAAATCAAGGAAATCGAAATAAAAACCAGAAAAAAAAACTTGTTTGCTTTTTTAATTTTAAAAAAAAAGTTTTTATAATAATTTTATTATAAAAAGTTTTTGTAAGGTTTTCAATATAAAATCTGTTTTTATTTATAATATTGGTAATAGAAAAGCTATTACCAATATTGTAAATAAAAAATCTAATTGAAATAAAAGCGAAATGTATTTATTGCAAATATTTTTTTTTCTTAATTTTTAACGAATGATTTGAAGCAGCAAGTTTAAGTAATGAAACTAGTAGTAAGCATTTTTACCAAGGGGAAGAATGAGTTTTTTTATCTATAATTTCTAGATAAAAAAATATTTTTGAATATTAATACCATAAATAACTGACTTTCCAGTAACAAAATTTTTTTAATTTTTCATAAATAAAGAGGTATAACAATAACATAGTAAAACAATTATCAATTATATTTTGAGTACACTTTTAGGTTCAAAATTGTTAAAATTAATTAAATAACATACCTTATAGCAAATGTTCGTCAACTTTAAAAAATAAACTATTGAAGATCTTATTATTTTTTTCAATGAGAGTGAATAAACTCTCATTGAAAAAATATTTTGTTTTACAAAGTAAGTCAAAGTATGTTTGATGGATTGCTGCAAACGCCGTGGACACCGAAAAGCAAAGAAAAGTTGGCAGTTTTAAAAATTTGATAATTAAAGATTTTACAAATGTGTTTTTTTAGAGGCTGAGATCTCATCAATGGAATATTAAAAAAAAAAACATTAAGAAGATATACATTTAAACATTAACGTTATGATCATCCAAATCATTCTATTTTAGCTTGAGCGGTTTCTCTGTGGTATCCTGGTCCTACTTGAGTTTTCCGATTCTTTATTCATTATTTGTTTTTTAAAATATATCTTTATTTGTATTTTTTTTCTTTTTATTTCTATAAAGATTGTAATATATATATATATATATATATATATATATATATATATATATATATATATATATATATATATATATATATATATATATATATATATATATATATATATATATATATATATATATATATATATATATATATAAGATTAAAAAGTTCTAGTTTTATAAAAATTGTCAGCCAAAGAAGGAGTGCCTTTTTGAAAAGTAGATAAATAATAACCTGTAGAACTCATAATTCAACTCATTTTCTTCGTTGCACAGTGAATCGTTTCATACAATCTAGCTGGACAAAAATATTTTATTATTATTATTAAATGCTGTAACTGGTATGAACCAGTGAGTGTGTTATTAGCAGACTATAACAGCTGATTTGCCTGACTGCTGCTCATCCAGCAATCAAGACCCGCTTTAAAACTGTTAAATGTTTCTGAATTAACCAAATCGCTTGGCAAGCTATTCCATAAGATGGCTGATCTGTTAAAGAAAAGGTTTTCTCGATGAGCTTCCTTAGTGATTTCTTTTACATATTTAAACCGGTGACCTCTTGTTTGAGTTTGTTGAAAATTAAACTTTCTTTTTGTTTCTAATTTGTTGAAACCGTTAAAGATCTTAAAAAGTTGAATCATGTCTCCTCTCTTTCTTCTATTTGTTAACATAGTAAAGTCAAGAGCTTTTAGACGATTCTCATAGTTGAATTTCTTGAGTGATGGTATTGTCGAGTTGCACGATGTTGAACTCTTTCCATTAAGTCAATTTCACTCTTTTGATTTGGTGACCAAACGGGTACTGTAAATTCTAATAGTGGCCTGATAAAAGATACATAAAGTGATCTCAGTAGTCTAATATCTAAACCAACAAAGCATTTTCTAATCATACCCAACATTTGATTAGCTTTGCCTACGCATGATATCGCTTGATTTTTCCATTTTAGGTTGTTTGAGAAAATTACTCCTAGATCTCTTTCAGATTCTGTTATGTTTAATTTTTGTTTATTGATATAAAGTGGTGTTTTTCTGTTATTAATCCCATAGTGCATGACCATACATTTAGAAATATTGAACTTTACAAGTCACTCTTGAGTCCACTTAAAAGCTCTATCAAGATCTGCTTGCAAAGACACTGTTGATTCGTAGAAAATCATTTCATTCATTATTTTAGCGTCATCATTTTGTTTACGAATTCCATTGTTCTAGTCATGAATGGTTTAATAAACAATATTTTGTTGTTTTATTGAATAGTCATCTTGGTTTTAATAACTTAGAAGTTTTTTTTGCGCATGATAGAGGAAAAAACCCCTCGCCTACAACCCCCCCTCCCCAATTCTCCCTCATTGCAACAACCACTGTTATAATAAAAAAATGAAGTAAAAAAGAAAAAATATATTTATGAAATACGGATACATAATATTATACAATAAATTTTATATTTAGTTATCAAAAAACTAGTCATTTATATCCACCAAACACTCATCATTTGAATAGACAGATGACTCATCATTTGATTCATCGGACAAGTTACAATTTCCTATTCTTGGAGCCGGAACAATCAAATTCAAAACATCTACTGGTAATTTGCTTCTTTTTGCAGGCAGTTCTCTAAGTGAATTGATAACAGGGTCAGATGTTATTAAGAGCATATTCAGCAAATCCATATTTGTAGAAATACGTGACTTTTTCCTAGTGTGATGTTCTTGAAATCTCCAACAATCTTTATTTTGTGCTTCCAGAGATTTTTCTGAGAGCTGGCCAATCCGAAGAACACACGACTTTATAGCTTCCATGCTATGCAATAAAACTTTATGCACTGTAACAGGGATGTAATACCACGAATATAAATGTAAATATAAAATCCATGTTTCAGAACAAAGTTTTTCAAGTTTGACACAATCAATGTCATGGCCAGAAGATAGCGTTCTTAACAAAACACAAAATTTTTTAATTAATTCATCGTCTAATCCTGTAATCTCTCCACTCTTTTCTGGGTTTAAAAAAAAACCTGCGAGCTGTGTTGCCATCATTTGTATTGTCATAATGAGGGTTCGGTCTATCCACAAGAAGTCCCATTTAGCTACGTTTCTTTGACCCGACAAATGATGTGCTATTTCAGCAGCTGTTGTTAATTCATTGGCACTCCACGATTGTATTAAGTCTTCAACTCTACGTCTTTTGGTTTTTAAAGATGAGTCTTTTTCTTTGACCGACCTTGAGGCCGACTTTTTTCAGATGTATAAGTTGTAGAAGTACAGGACCGATAAAAATTTATTTCAAATTCTAAATTATTGCCCTCTAACCAACTTTTATTTTTATTGAAAAAATGATCCATATTTCTATTGGCTGCATTCCACTTTTGCGCAAGTTTAGCAGATATGCTTGCCATTTTTAACTGTATTTTTTTTTTCGAATCACTAATAACATTTTCTGTAGTATAGTCTTTCAAAATAAATTCACACAAAAGAGAATTTCGTTCTTCCTTTGCATGTTTTTGCCATTCTTCAAATAACTCCAGTTTTGTCATAAAATACTTTGGGTCTGAAAAAAATTAAATAAAAATGAAACGGGCAGACACGGGCAGCCAAATTTTTATATTTAGGCGCCTTATTGTTGTGGTTATAATATACAAAAAAGTCAGCCTGGATATATTTGGATAAAATTAGTTATATGCTTTGAAAATTAAAAAACAAAAAAAGAAATTGCAGTTTTAACATAGTTTTTTTAAAGCTACAGAATATCATCTATGACAATTATTTTAAATAAGTTTTCGATAAAATACAAACAACATACTCTCTAATGTAAAATTCATCAAAGCAGAGTTAGTTATTATTTACAATAAATTAGTTATACGTTATTGTCACACAGCAAAATTACAGCTAATTTTTTTACAAAAATATGTTTATCTTTAAGTGACATTTAGGCGCTAATGATTCAACACTTAAAAACGCGTATACTAATTAATATTTTGAATTTTTCTCTAGGGAGTATTCAGTAATATTATGGAAGTATCTACTAATTGATTCCTTGAATTGACTTTTGTCCAGCTAGATTGTATGAGCGGATTCACTGTGTGTTGAATTGATCGAATTTTAGTGACATGCAGCGCATGGAGTTTTTATATTCAAATAATAGCCCATAAATATCATATTGCGTTTAATTTAGCCGCCTTAAATATTATAAGAGCGAAGTTTAAATTTTTTATATAAAGTTTAAAAATAATATGTTTATCTTAATATTTAAATATTTAAGACATTATTATGCTATATTACTATTGCAAACTTGTTTTCTTGCCTTTTTTATTATTGATAAAAATAGTTACATGAACGCCATATAAATACCTTTTTGGCGCTAAAAGTGGAGCTTATGCACAAAATTGACACTTAGCATAATATATTTTGTTAAGTAAAAAAATTTACATAACTTTTATAAACAGGTAATGCAATTCAATGTAAACTAACAAGGTTTTCGAGAGAAAAAAACTCAATAAAACTTCAAGTCTATCTAAAAAAATGTGCAGTATTGAATTTAAACTATTTTAATTAAATTAAAAAGATCTACAATGATAAAAATTCTGAATATAAAGAAAAAAAACTACAACTTCTCTAGTCTAAAATAAAATAAACTGGGAAAACATAACATATATTTTGATTGGATATTTGGGTTCTGTAAAACTCAGATACGCCAGTAGCTAGTCTTAGAAAACCCATCTGCAGTACTTTTTTACTCTCGGTATTTAAAGAACTATCTTTTTCCTGTGTTCCTTTTAACTAAACAAATATGAAAATATGTAAATATTTATGAAAATTATTTGTTCAAATTTTATTTCAAAAGTTTGATCGGACAATATCCGACCAAAATAACTTTTGGTCTGATATTTTGTCCGGGACCTTATAAAAAATTAAATTAAGCTCTGTTAGTATGCATATGTTTGTATACATGAGTGTATGTTTACATTTACACATGTATATGAAAAGTGAATTTTCAAAAGGTGCTAACTTCAAGTAAATTGATTTTAAGAAATCAATAAAAAACTTGACAGAGATGTAAGTTTTTTTTGTATTGCTTTTGTATTTGTTGTGTTTAAAATTAAAAAAAATGTAATTTACATATTTTAAACATTTAAATAATTTAAACTTTTGTTTTAATATGATATTTATTGAAATTCTTTTGAAAAACAGTAAAAGAACTTATAAGTACTTTACACAGCCATCAAATAATTTTAATAAGCATTTCTCCATATACTTTTTTTCTTCACTTCCGACAAGACTGCAAGCAACCACACATTACACAAAAATTAGACTTAAAAGTTACTGGAAGAGTAAAGATAAAATTTATAAAGCACAATAACAATTAACATTCAACTTAAAAGATTGCAAATCATATGAATCAGGAAAACAAGAAGTGATGAGCGAATTCCAAAGAACCGATGTTCGAGGAAAAAAATTCGACAAATAAGAGTTTTTGGAGCACTTAGGAAAAACCACAGTAAAAAAATGAGACTTAATTAAGTGACGAGTAACAAGAGAATGAAATTTAGTAGATAAATCAAGAAGCGCTAGCTCTTTAAAGCAGCACTTATAATAGTTTTTATAGAAAAGAGAAATAAAAGCAACATTACAATGATGTGACAATGGTTAAAAGTTGGCCGCAAATGCAGGTCCAACTATATTTACAATGCCTTTTTGTACCTTGCCTAAAAGATATGCCAAAAGTATTTCATACAAGGACGGATTTGAGATTTATAGAGATAGAGAATAGAATCCAGAGTAAGAAAGTGACAAGCTCGATAAAGAGAAGCAACTTTAGCAGATGCTAATTTTGCAACGGATTTGATATAAGGTTTCCAAGAAAGATCAGAAGTAAGAGTTAATCCTAGAAGAAGAAGGGTATATGACTCATGGAGTACATCACCGTTTATAAATATAGGAAGATCTAGATTGTTGCAATAACGATCAGCAGAAAAAAATTGAGTTTTGTCCAAGTTAAAGTTCATATAAGTTCATATATACAAATAGTATTGCATACTATGGTAAGCAATCTGATGTCATACTGAAATAGCCTGCTGCTGGGGGCTTCAGTACAAACATCGACTGACAAATAGCCAGACTCACAGTGGAGTACTGCTACATCGACTGAGGGTTTGGGATGGGGAAGCAATCGTTTCATTCATCATTCTTCGTTTTTTTTTCTTCTTTTTCGAAAAAAACAGTATAGCTTAAGGTAAGCAGAAAAAGTGAGCAAATGCTTATCAAAACACACTATAGTAAATGTGAATATATATATATATATATATATATATATATATATATATATATATATATATATATATATATATATATATATATATATATATATATATATATATATATATATATATATATATATATGATAATCGTTATTGCAACAATCTAGATCTTCCTATATTTATGAATGGTAATGTACTCGATATCAGCACTTAAAACAATGGCCAATCAATGTTCAATGATCAGCTATTTTTAGGGACATTTTAAAAATAATCTGTTTTTGTGAAATAGTTACATTTAATCGGCAAGCTTTAAAAACTATTTCAAGCACTGATATATATATATATATATATATATATATATATATATATATATATATATATATATATATATATATATATATATATATATATATATATATATATATATATATAGGCCTTGGCATGAAGCGGGAGCAATTGCTCCTGTCATGTGAAACACACTCGTTAATGGAATATTTAAAAATTGCTGGCGAGTAAAAAATCCCGCTCGTCCTAAAAATTTGGGAGTATGTTGTTTGTATTTTATCGAAAAGGGAGAAAACTAATAATGGTTTACTTAATTTTATAATTAATTTTTTTTATAAAAAGTTTTTGAAGATTCTTGTTTAATTAAACAAAAAGGTTTGCTATTGTTAAAAAAAAAAAAAATCTCTACTCACATATCTTTAGTTGCGTTTTTTCAACTGAGGTAAAATGTTAAAGTTATACTTCAGTTAAAAAACTCATTTTTTCAGACAGTGTCCAATCAAATTTTCAAAATAGGAATTTTACTGTTTTAAGGAACCAAGTTATGCAATCAAAATCTTTGTCATGTTCAGTTTATCTAACATTAGTCTAGTGAAATTGAAGTTTGTTTCCTTATTAATTAGAATATTTCATCGCAGATATTTGTTTTTTAATAAAATAGTTTCAATTTAATGTTTTTTTAGATAGACAAGCTTTTTTTACTTTTTTTTGTTTGTAATTTGACAACGGCTGTTTTGTTGTTTTAACAACTTAAAACATAAAAACATAAAAAACATTGTTATGTTAAGAATAACTTTTAATCATTAAACTTTCTTTAAGTTTTTATTTTACTCTAAGGCTTTAAATAAAATCAAAAATTAATAATAATGATCATTAAAAATTAACGCATTATGTGTAAATTGAATGTTATATTAAAAATATTTTTTATTAGGTATGTATTTTTTATGATAAATTTAAATGTTTGAAACTATTTTTCCATTTTTTTCTGAAAATCTTTTAAAAGATTTTTTTTGAATTAAAATTATGAATAAGTTCAATTAAGTCTTCCCATGATTTAATTGTTTTTTTGTTTGTTTTTTTTGTTTCTATTTTTAAAAAGAATTGTTTTAAAGTTTTTTTTTTTAAACTTGACTTTTGCCTTTTGCGTAACTTTAATTAAACATTTTAAAAGATAAGTTTTAAAGCAATTTTTTTCAAAAGCAGCTAAAAAAGGTAACAAAAAGTAATTTTAACTTCGAGTTTAGTTTATTTTAGTATTTTTTTTTTTTTTTAAAGCAAGTTTATTTTCTTTTTTATTTTGTAGAATTTATTTTATTTTGTAGAATTTAATTCCCGTCGGTCAAAATTTCCGATTACTTTGTAAATTGATTAAACAATCTGAGGTTTTAGCTGGACAATGTCTGACCGTTAAATTAAGCCCTGAGTCATCTACCCTTTATCATCTAAGATTAACTCTTACTTCTGATCTTTCTTTGAAACCATATATCAAATCCATTGCAAAATTAGCATCTGCTAATTTTGATTGCATCACTTTATGGAGCTTGACATCTTCTTACTCTGAATTCTATTCTTTATCTCTATAAATCTCAAATCCGGCCTTGTATGAAATATTGTTGCCATATCTGGGGTGGATCTTCTAATGATGCCCTTTCTCTTTTAGACGAGGTGCAAAAATGCATTGTAAACATAGTAAGACCTGCTCATGCAGCCAACCTCCAACCATTATCACATCATTGTAATGTTGCTTCTCTTTCTCTTTTCTACAAATAATTAAATGGGCACTGCTCTAAAGAGTTAGTGTCTACTAAAATTCATTTTCGTGTTACTCGCCATTCAATTAAGTCTCATCCTTTTTCTGTGACTGTTCAAAAACTCTTGTTCCTCTAGTTTTTTTCCTGGAACATCAGTTCTTTGGAATTCTCTTCCTTTATCTTGCTTTCCTAATTCATATGATTTGAAATCTTTTAAGTTATCTGTCAATCATTATCTTGCTCTACAATCTTCATCTTTTCTCCTCCAGTAACTTCCAACTCTAATAGTGGTTGCTTGCAGCCTTATTGGAAACGGAAATGTTAAAAAAAAAACAAATAAAAACAGAATTAATAAGAAATATTTTAGAAAAGTTAAAACCATTTTAAAAAAGTTCTAATAAAGTCTTATTTCTTTCTAAGTTCTAATAAAGTCTTATTTCTTTCTAAAAAAGTTATGATAAAGTCTTATTCTATCTTATTTACTTGCTTTATAGCAAGTAAAGGAGATAAAATTATTTGTCCAATGAAAATTAGAAAAAAACTTTAGAATTTGTTATAGAAGTCAGTTTATTTTTTGTATCCTATGTATAAAGTTTATTAAAAAATGTGAAAGATAAATTTGTGTGTTTTATAAACACTAATCTTAACAACAACAAAACATAAGAACCAAGTTCAAAGCTTACCTGTTTTAACATGCATTTTAATAATAAAATGTAGTAACATGCATTTTAATAATAAAATGTGTGCATGAAATATTTTAATTGCCAAACTTATTTATAAATATACCATTTATATTTGGAAGAGCTGTTGGTGGTAATGTCTCAAAAAATGAACAACCTAAATTATAACAAAAAACGAACAAACTAAATTATAAAATGTTGTTTGACCGCTAATAATTTAATTATTATAGTAATATTAGGCATCTTTAATTTAAACACGAACCTGTTTACCAATTGCAGAGTTCCATTGTAAAGATAATCCCATGTGTGTGTTTGTAAATTATATAATAATAGTTTTAATATTTTTTTTTAAGTTTTATTTATTATTCAGGTGCTTCTTATGATTGATGCCAGTTTTGGGTTTGAAATGGAAATCTTCGAGTTTCTAAATATTGCTCAAGTACATGGTTTTCCAAAAATTATGGGAGTGCTCACTCATATTGATTTGTTAAAGAAAAATAAATCTTTGAAAAAGTTAAAAAAAAGAATGAAGACAAGGTTTTGGACAGAGGTTTATCAGGTATTGTGTTGTTTAGTAAAGTAATATTTTAAATTAAATAATGAGTTCCTTAAATTATTTATTGTTCCATCATCTCTGTGTTTTTAGAAACAATTTTTATCTTTATATTCTCTCTGGGCTTATAAGCATATTTGGCCCAAAAAGGGGTTTTAAGCATTATTTTAATAATGCTTATAAGCGCAGAGAGAGTATAAAAAATATAAATAACATGCAAAGATGAAATCTGAATATAAAATTAGATGTAAACATACACCCAAAATTAATTTTGAAATTATTTTGAGAAAATACAAAAGAATTAGATTTAAATTATTTTGAGAAAATACAAAAAAAAGTACATAGTACAAATTGTTTATAAACAACATAATATTTTTTTTAAATTGTGTTAAATATATAAAGCTAATTGTTTGTTTTTCTATACTTCTTAGTTGCAAAGCATTTTTTATCTTAAAAAAAACGTTAGCAAAAAAAACTAAAAGTGCCAAACATTTTCACAATACATTTAATTACCAGGTCTTTTTAAACTGTTGTTGCTCTCCTACTTGAAATTCAATGCCATTAAAATTTTTATACTCGACGACATTTTTATTCACAAAGAAGAGTAATGAAAGAGTTTTTATAATAATAGAAAAAATTTAATGACTGTTGTGTGGCGTGATTGATATAATACAGTTGTGTTTTTAATAAAATTATAAAGAATCAGCGTTATTTAGTACCGAAGAAAAGTAAGTACAAATTTTTTAATTACATTTTAGTTTTGTAATCGTAGTTAGCAAAGATAAATTAAGTGAAACTTAATCACTTAAAAATATTTTCAAACATTTAAAGGTAAACTTCAGAATAGACTCACGCTGGACAGAATGTTCGCTTTGACATTACAAAGAAACGATGATGGTTTGTGGGTGTCTTACAACATTTTGCTGCTTATAGCAAAATCCGGAAAACCGCATACTATTGGAGAGAAGTTAATTTTGCCAGCAGTTAAAGTGGTTTTAAAAACTGTTTTACACAAACCTGCATCTGATATCATTAAAAGAATTCCCTTAAGCAACAATACTGTTGGGAGGCGTGTTGATGAAATGTGTTCTGATATGGAATGCTTCTTGTGTAATTATTTGCAAATGACATATTTCTTTCTACAACTAGATGAGTCAACTTTACCTGGTAATACATCATTATTATTGGCATATGTTTGTTTTATTATGAATCAAGATATTCACGAAGAACTGCTCTTTGCAAGAGCGTTGACAACCGACACTAAAGGTGAATCAATATTTAATGTTTTGAAGGATTACTTTATTGTAAAAGCAATCCCCTTATCAAATATCATACCAGTAGCTACAGATGGAGCACCTGCCATGGTTAGACGTTATCGCAGATTTATAAACTATTTAAAACAAAATGTGCCAGGGGGTATTAGCAATACATTGCATCATCGGCAACATTTGGTTGCTAAAAATTTGAGCGCTAGATTGCATCAATCTCTTCAATTAGTCATTCATGCAATAAGTCGAATCTGAAGCAACGAGTTGAATACATGATTATTTGCACACTTGTGTGGAGAAAATGACTAACACTTTCATCAGTTACTTCTTCACACTGTAGTACGCTTGTTGTCAAAAGGCTTATGTTTAACAAGATTCTTTGGACTTTTTGAGACTATTTTAGAATTTTTGGATACTAAAGATAAAGTTTTAAAAGACAATTTAGTAAAATGGAAAACAGACATTGCCTATTAAACAGATTTGTTTACAAAATTTAATATGGTTAACTTGCAGTTACAAGGCGACAATCTAAATTTGATTAAAACAAAATCTATCTTATCAGCGTTTCTTGCCAGAGTTAAAGTAATGAAGCAAAAATTTGGACAGGGCGAACTTTCCCAGTTCCCCAGTTTGTCACAGACAAATTGTCTGGAAGAGGGCGTTTCAACCTATGTTCAACATTTAAATGCCCTCTAATCAGATTTAGAAACTAGGTTTGAAAATGTTTTGACTATGGTAATACCACCGTGGATAATTAACCCATATGGTGAGATAGAAGAAACAAATATCATAATACAAAAGGAACTGATTGCACTAATTACAAACAAAGAACTTAAGGTTCAGTTTAAAAACGGATATCAGCAATTCTGGATGCAAAACATCATACCCTTTACTTATCCCGCATTATGGAATATAGCGAGAAAATTTTTTATTTCCTTTCCATCCTCATACCTAGTGGAAAGAGGATTCAGCATTGTTACCGATCTCCTAAGGAAAAAAAGTAACCAACTGGACATCATTAGCCGAGGAGATTTAAGATTAAATCTTATGAAGTTGATGCCAAATGTTGATAATTTTTTATTAAATCATCAGGTTCATCCTTCTCACTAAAAAAAATTACTTATTGCTTAGTTTATTTTTTGTGTTTATTTTATGTTACGTATACAGATACGCAATTTTTATATTGAGTATTTTTAATTTAAATACAATTAATAAATGTATAAAACTTAGCATGTGTTTTTACTTGACATTTTTAAAACTAAACTTAGAACACTACAGTTAGAAATTAACAAAAAATCAATATCAGGTAAGTTGGGGGTCTACCCAAAATCAAAAAACATAGCAAGGGGTCTACAACACAAAAAAGTTTGGGAATCACTGATATATTATATGCCATTTCTAATTCACCTTCATTTACTGATTCATACAACCTTCAACTTTTTAAGTCTTCTGTCAACCGTTTCCTTGCTCTATAACTCTATTCTTTTTTTCTAGTAACTCTCAGCTTAATAGTGGTTGCTTGCAACCTTGGGAGTGAATCAGAATTGAAAAAAAAACAAGCATATATTAAAAATTTTATTATAAAAATTTTAAAAAATAAATTTAGTATTTTACCATTTTTAATAAGCATTTAAAGGCCTAACTTTATTTATACAAACCCATTAAATACAAAAATCAATGAGAGTTAAAGTTCAAAGGTATTTATAAATAATAAAAAGTGAACAAAAGTAGCAAAACAACTAATTGTGGTGCTAACAGGTGTTTAATTGAAAACATAGTTGTTGTAAATAAAAATAATTTTAATATATATAATGCATATTTTAATGGCTGAAACTAATCAATTTAAAACAAAAAGTACTGATTTAATTGGATTGCTGAGCTGTAAACTTGCCGGTTTGTGTTGCTCAATTGTGCAATTCTTTTTTATGTACCACAAATTATTTTATAAAAATGATGGTGATTATATTGATATATAATTAAATAATTTTCTAGTGTTAAAAAGTATGGTTTCAGTTCAAAACAGTCACAAGAAAGTTTACTCTTATACTTAAGACAAATAAGGAAAAGCTTCTAATGTATTTAAAAATAAAGGTTTATGATCTTTAAAGTTAATTAAATAAAAAAAAGGTAATGTAACAATTTTTGTGATTCTCCAAAATACACTAACACTGTTTTAAAAAAAAGTTCCTCTGCTAATATACAACACCCTCTGGTTATTCAAGAAAAAGAATTAACTTAATTAATTTCTTATTTGAGAAGTATATATTTACCATTATGTACTTTAGCTGATTCTTTATATATAATTATATACTTTAGCTGATTCTTTATATATAATTATATACTTTAGCTGATTCTTTCTGTGTTATTATTTCAATTATCTAAACAATAGATTTCATCTTTTTCTATAAAATGCTGCATGCTTCTCTATTATTAATTGCATGATGGCAGTTAGTGACTTTCTGGAGGTGTGTGGTGAAGTTAGTGATAGCTGTGTACTGAGTTAAGCAATAAATAGTTTGAACAGAACTTAATAAATCAGGTTTTTTTTTTAGAAATCCAAAAAAGTAAATGCTTTTTAGGAATTGATTCAGCTTGATCTTGCTTTCTATAACCAATTTTAAAGTAAATTAAAGCTTAGGTATTAATCATTTTATGGATATTCAGATAAGCTTTATTAGAAGACTTTTGAAAATCTCATTAGTCTGAAAATTATCTTTTTAATTTTCACTGTAAAAAGCATGATAACTGTCCACATAATAAAGGCCATGTTTTTTAATCATCTGAAGAAAAAAAATTTCTTTAAGTTCATAAGCTTAAAATTAAAATCTTATTTTACTTTAAAAATATTTGAATGAAATAAATACAATTTATTTTACAGGGTGCCAAGTTGTTTTACCTAACCAACATTACACATGGATTATATCCTAAAACAGAAATACATAACTTGGCTCGCTTCATATCAGTAATGAAATTTAGACCTCTTTTGTGGAGGTCGTCTCATCCATATGTACTTGTTGACAGGTTTTTTTTTTTTATTAAAGTTTTAGGTTTTATTTAAAAACAATAAATTGATCATTTGTTATTATTTGTTTTTTTTTTAGATATGAAGATTTAACTAATTCTGAGTTGATACGTGAAAATAGCAAGTGTGACAGAACTGTTTGTCTGTATGGTTATATGAGAGGAGCTCATATGAAGTCAAAAGCTAAAGTTCATATAATAGGTTTATTGCATTTGATAACATTTTAAAATTGGAAAAGTGTTTTTGTTGTTTTAAAGTATTTTACAAACAAATTTTTTTCAAAACATTCCAGAATAAGTAAAAAACATGATTTAATATTATTTTAAATTGTATTTATATAAGTATATTTTTATACTTTATTTAAGTTTTTTACTGATTTTAAGCTTTCAAATTTATCACTGGTATTAATTTCGTGACTTTTACAGTTTAAATCATTAAATTTTTTAAGTTCATTTTTTAGTCAAAATTTGACAAATTTTAAGTTGCTGTAAATCTTAAAGAGGTAAAAATTTTTTAAACATTTGTGCCCAATTCAGCGAATTTAGTGATGTAGGGTGCATTCCTTTGTTTTTTTAAAAAATTTTACTCTGTTACTTTTAAATTTTTTATAAAGTTGCGCTTCTTTTGAGGGGCCAGGGTACAAGATCAGTGTTTGCCATGTCTAATAACATCTGTCCAACAACATCTGTAAATACACTTAGGTATAATAACATCTGTCCAACAACATCTGAAATTTCATTGATGTCTAATAACATCTATTTAAAAGTATATGATTACTACAGATGTAGTTACATCTTTTCAATTATTCAAGTATAACAACATCTTGAGGTTTTACAGATGTAGTCACATCTTTTATGTTAAGAATAACTGTACAACTACATCTGTGAATTCTACAGTCAAATTCTGTAGAATGAACAGACAAATAAGTTACATCTTTTCAATTATAATAAATATAACTACAGGATTTTATAAAATTAAACCAGATTTAGTTTCAAATATAGTTTTTTTCAGATCTAGTTAAATCTGGAAAAAAATATTAAATATAAATGCTTTAGATGTAGTTAGATAGAAGATTTTTTTCAGATGTAATTGCATCTGGAGGAAATTCTTCCAGATGTTATTGGACTTCTTTTTAAAGATGTTGTTAGGGGTCATTGAATTTCCAGATAATATTGGACAGATGTTGGAGTAAAAAAAAAAAGTATGGATGATCTTGGATAAAAGTGTATAGATAATCTTGGACTACATTACAGATGTTTTTGGACAGATCAGTAATCTTTTATTTTTTTGAGACCCAACATTATATACTTTTGATTTTTTTTTTATATATATATATTAGGGATCTGACTGATGTTTAAGGATTTTGTGTAACCTCTAGAAATGCTTCAAACCACCTCAAATATTAAAAAAAAATTATTTAAATAGATAAGAATAAGAGATTTCAATGTGCAAAAATGAAAAAAAATATTTTGGGACCCCCCTTTTATATATATAAATATATATATATATATATATATATATATATATATATATATATATATATATATATATATATATATATATATATATATATATATATATATATTATATATATATATATATATATATATATATATATATATATATATATATATATATATATATATATATATATATATATATATATATATATATATATATATATATATATATATATATATATATATATATATATATATATATATATACTCTTGCATGTCTCTTGCGTGGCATCAAAAAAAATTTCCAATAAACTGTAGTTTTAAAGAGCGCGTTAATAAACCAGACCAGAAAAAGTTTAAAAAATTTAAAAATTAAATTTTTTTTCAATTGATAGACTGCCTGGCCAAACCAAACCCTCAGTCGATGTAGCAGCACTCTCTTGCGAGTCAGGCTATTTGTCAGTCGTTGTAGCAGCACTCCCTTGCGAGTCAGGCTATTTGTCAGTCGATGTAGCAGCATTCCCTTGCGAGTCAGGCTATTTGTCAGTCGATGTAGCAGCACTCTGTTGCGAGTCAGGCTATTTGTCAGTCGATGTAGCAGCACTCCGTTGCGAGTCAGGCTATAAGATAGTCGATGTAGCAACATTTACGCATGTTTTAAAAATGTTTTTTATTAAATCAATAACAAAAACACCACTAATTAAAAAAAACTTTCTAGTCGTTATAATTGCGGTTTTTTAAAAAATTTTTAAAAAACAATTAAATTTAATGTACTTCCGCATAAATTAATTGCTTTGACATTTCGATGACAATCAATAACAGCTTAAGAGACGAGGTAATTAAAACTGTAGTCGTAAGAGACTTTTTTTACATTAAAACGCTCTTTCGACTACACTATAAGGGTATATATATATATATATATATATATATATATATATATATATATATATATATATATATATATATATAAACATTTACCCCAGTGTGGTTATATAAACTATTTGTATAAGATGTATACTTATATGTATAAGATATATCCAGTATTACTATGATGTGCATATACATATACATTTTTAGGTTGTGGGGATTGTGTAGTTGATGAGCTACATGTTCTTGCAGACCCCTGTCCTTTACCTGAGAAATTAAAGAAACGGTCATTAACAGAAAAAGAACGTCTGGTATATGCTCCAATGTCAGGTGTTGGAGGGATTGTTTATGATAAGGTTTGTATATTTTATTTTAAAATTGCTTAACAATTAAAAAAAAATCTGAGTAGCACAGGTGAGTTTTCATAAAAAAATAAAGAACCATTAGTTAGGAGCATTTTTAGGACTTTTAATTTGCATAATATAATTTTGAAAAATACATAATTGTATTATATTTATGTATTTTTCAAAATTATATTCAAGTCATATTCTAATCACAAATTATTCTTATGAATCAATCATCAATAAGTCCATCAATCAATTATAAATCATAAACTAATTATAAAATAAACAAAGAACATAGTAACTAGCCAATTGAAAAATTGTTTTGCTTAATCAATTTATGTTTTGGTATAATGATATCTTAAGTTAAATGGTTTTAAAATGTTAAAAACAATTTTTGCAGTTGTGAAATGTAACAACAAAAGTTATTTGTGAAATTAAATATCAAGTTTTATTTGCTTTAATTTTCTATACTTCTGGTTTTTATTTGTTTATTATTTTATTTTAGTTCTTTTACTTCTGATATTTTATTTTTGTATACTTTGATTTTAAAAAGTAATAATGTTGTATTATCCAACTAAAGGATGCTGTTTATATTGATCTTGGTGGAAGCAAAGCTGGTCAAAGAGCAGCTCTAAATGAAACAGATGAATATGAAGTAGTTTTTTAAATATATTGTAATTTTATATGTTTTTAAAATCCATTCATGTATTAATTATTTAGAAATTTATAAACAATTAATTTCTAAATAATTGACACTTTGAAATTGAATATTTTTTGAGTGAATTATAATTTTTATTGTTATTTATTTTGGTTAGTTAAAATTTAATATTTTAATTTTTATTATCATATTTATTATTTTATCATACAGAAAATTTATAATTTCTAGATGGAAGGTCAACAGGAAAATGCATTGATGTCATCATTGTATTCTGCTAAAACTCCTATTGATTCAAAAATGGAATTCAGTGAACTTAATATATTTAAAGTACTTCTTACTAAAACTTGTTTATAAGCATAAATTATATCCTCAATGTAGTTTGACCCATAAATTATGGTTAAAAAAAAGAACATTCAATTCTAACAATAATTTTATTTTATTAGCAAGCTGTTGGGAGTATTTTTTTTTTTTAGAATTCTAAACCTGTTAGAGGAGAAGAAGTTATAAGGTTTGATAAATATTAACAAATATAACTTTTAAATAATTATAACTTTTTACTGAAAAATTTTTTTTAGCAAACTTTTGGCTTCTTTATTTTCTTATCAGCTTTTTATTAATTGTGTTTTGATATCAGGAGTTGTTCTAGAAAAATAATTTTGGGCAGAGGTACCCCCTTCTCCTGTGCCATATTTAAAAGAAAAAAAAGTCTTTCATTTTGTGCCTAAATCTCTCCTAAATACATATTTAACATTTTAAGTGACATTTTAAAAAAAATTTTAGTTTGGACATTTTATGTAGGCAAATGACTAATTAACATTTTCTGATCTATATATATTTATATTAAAATATAAATATGTTTTTATATAATAATAATAATAATAATAATATATATATATATATATATATATATATATATATATATTTATATATATATATATATATATATATATATATATTTATATTTATATTTATATTATAAAAATTTTTATGGCAAATTTAGTTTTTTTCTCAAAAAAACGCCAATATTTGGCAATGTTTCCTCTAAATTTCTCCAGGGAGGGGGTGTACCAACGCCCAAATTTTTTTTGTAGAATAGCCACTGTGTGTGTGTGTGTGTGTGTGTGTGTGTGTGTGTGTGTGTGTGTGTGTGTGTGTGTGTGTGTGTGTGTGTATATATATATATATATATATATATATATATATATATATATATTGTCAGTCAATGTATGCACACATTAAATAAATAAAAATAAAAATATTCATATATATATTTTTTGAGCAGCTAGCACAGCTCATATTTGTTTTAGGAAAGCTTTTCTCTGCTTTTACGCTCATTTTTTCCTGTGTATTATATATAAAGTGGTGTATATGTATATATATATATATATATATATATATATATATATATATATATATATATATATATATATATATATATATATATATATATACACCACTTTGTGTTTTACATAAGAAAGGCACATTACTTTTTTGTTGTTATGTAAGAAATATACACCACTTTGTGTTGTTATGTAAGAAATGTACACCATTGGTCATTTTTGTCATAATGTGAAATGCTCTTTAAAATAAATTTAAAACTGCTTAAAACATCTGGTTTCAAAGTATCTGACTAAGCTTTTATTTGATTTTATAAAATTTAGCTCTTTGTAAATCTGAAATATTAGTTAGTAATAAATTAATATTAGGTCATAAATTTGTCTCATATTTATTATAACATTAAAATAATAAAAAAGATATTTTTATTATAAAATTAAAATAGTTTAATAAGACTTGTTTGTTGTTTGAAGTTTGTTGGCTGAATACTAAATTTAAAAGTATTTTATTTTTTATAGCGATTCTAATTGGACTATGCCAGAAGAGCAGGTATCATTAGATGACTCTGGTAGAGTACGTCGAAAAGCAGTTTTTTCTGATGAGGAAGGTGAAGAGGAAGACTCAAGTGAAAGCTCTGAAGAGGATTCATGTGCAGAAAGCAACAGCGAAGATGACAATGATTTTGAACCAAAAAACAAAAAGTTAAAAAAAGTAAGTTTTTTTTTTTTTTTATTTGCATTCACTCCCAACAAGGCTGCAAGCAACCACTATTAAGTTGGGAGTTACTAGGAAAAAAAAAGAACAGAGTTATAGAGCAAGGAAACGGTTGACAGAAGACTTGAAAAGTTGAAGGTTGTATGAGTCAGGAAAACATGAAGATGGGAGAGAGTTCCAAAGGATTGAAGTGCGGGGAAAAAAACTAGATGAATAAAAGTTTTTAGAATTTTTAAATATTTTTTTTTTGTGTCAATTTTTTATTCATTAATTAAGCATTAAACAAAGAAAATTTTTTTTTAACTTTTCACCTCCCTTGCACAATTAATTATAATTTGTTTTACATTTGTTTAGAGTACAGAAAGTGAAGAAAACATTGACTTTGAAGATGAAAGTGAAGATGAAAGTGAAGATGAGGAGTTCCAAGACATGCAAAAATTTGAATCACAAAGTGGTAATATTTTATATTTTTTATTATTATTTTTTATTGTATTTACCTCCTCAACATCATAGAAACCTACTAGTAGGAGCCACGGCCACAAGAGCCTACTTGTAGGAGCCACTACAGTCCAGCAGGCTATTTTTTTCTTTCTTTAAACACACTCTCGTTCCTTTATCTCTGAAACACAAACTAAGGCAGCACGGCAATTAAGGCGGCTGCAAGCAAAAACAAGTTTAATATGTGATTAGTCAAAACAAAAAACATTTTGAATATCTTCTAATGGTCATTTAGAAGTATTTTTCTAGGATGAGGTTGAAGGAATCATTTAGCTGAAATTAAATTAATATATAGACAAAAAATCAAGTTTATTTGCTAATTCAAAACAGGTTTATTTTTTCTATTAATACTTATTTTTATTTACTTTAATATTTACTTTTTTACTTTATCCTATTTTTATACGCTGTTGGTTTTTAAGGTTTAAAATTTCAACTAAAATGTTTTTAGTTCAAGTATTTTTAATAAAGTTATGATAAAGTTTTGACCTGAAATGACTAAAATTGCTGTTTTGACAAGCAATGTCTTAAAGATTTTTTTGACTTCTGGAGAGCATTTATGTAACAAATTAGCACATTTATGTAACAAATTGTTTCCCTATTTTTTGTGCATTATTTTATATGGCGTATTTAGAAAAAGAAATAAAAAACAAAGAGTAATGAAAGAGAAGATTGCTGCCCCAATGCAAACCCTCAGTCAATGTAGCGGCAGTCCCCTGCGGCAACAGGCTATAAGATAATTGATGTATGTATTGAAGCCCTCGGTTGCAGGCTGTTTTAGTGTGACATCAGAGATGTTATTTAAATACGTATCCATAGTTGTATAGTTAAATAGAGAGACATTTTTTGAACTTTTTAAAGCAATTATTTCAAATAATAATCTCCTTTACTGTAATTGACTATGTATTTCAGTTTCAATTTGATGGCTCATTAATAGTAATTTTAAAAATTATCATAAAATGACTCTTTATTAACTTCCAATAATAGTACTTGTTTCTAAACCAAAGCTATTTCTTTATTAATTGTAAAAATCTAAACTAATAATATGTATAAACTGTTATATAAACTATAAATATTACATACTAAAATGATTTACAAATCTGCCTGTTGTTTATCTACTTATGTTGTTTAGTTTTACATAAATTTTTTTTTTTTTTTTTTTTAATATTAACAACTTTTATTTATTAGCAATGATTCCATAGGTACTTAAATACAGAAATAAAGCATAAATTAAATATGCAGCTTAAAAAAGAGAAATAAAATTACAATAGGAAATAAATAGTTAAATATTATGTAAAGAGAGTACATTTATAATGCTATTTTATATTGGGTATTGAGTTTTACTATTTATATATAATTGTCTTTTATTTATTGATACATTTTAAAGATACTTAATCTAAATTTGTGCATACAAATTTGTGTACAATATAAATTTTTTTATAATTAGGTAATAGATTGTTTAATAAAAGCTGTTTATTTTAAAAACTAATTTTACTCTAATGTTTTCCTTAATATATTAATGTGACTGAGATTAAAAAATGTGAGAAGTTATATAAAACAGTGTATATCAAAAGATTGTGTAATTTTTTTAAAATAAGATTGTATAAAGAGAATTTTTAAATGTTGTCAATTATTTTTAAAGGGCATATTTTTGCACAATTTTTTTGGATGCTTTGAAAATTCTTACAATCACTATTGATTTTAAAGGCCCTAATAATGAAAGTGAACCAACCCATATATATATATATATATATATATATATATATATATATATATATATATATATATATATATATATATATATATATATATATATATATATATATATATATATATATATATATATATATATATATATATATATATATATATATATATATATATATATATATATATATATATATATGTTCTACTAATAAATTTATAATTATTACTAAGTAGTCCAGTGTAAGTATAAAAAGCTGATGTATTTTATTTTTAAATATAAATATTTTTAATCATAACATTAAGAAAATTAAGTTTGTTATTAGTTAAAATATTAATTGTTTGGAAAAACTTTTTATCAATCACTATACTATTAGTAATACAAGGATGAAATAAAATAGTAATACTCGGAAAAAATGTTGCATTTTCAATTTGATTGAATACACAAAATATAATTACATTTATTTTATATAAAACAACCTATCTACATATTATTTACAGTATGTATGAACTTTTTTTTTTTCTTTTTTTTTTTCTTTTTTTCTCTGTTTACATAGCATAAAAATTTTACAAATTCCACTACATAATATAATATTTAACAAAACAAGTAAAACAGATAGGAGCTCAAAAAAGATGAGGATAACAGAATGTCATCACAATCTTTTCATAGAACCCCTTTAACAAGACTTAATTAAAATATCGTAATATGACATACAAAATAAAAATTTCAATAAAATATAACAAAATGTGTAATCCGCTAATAAAATTTGTCAAGCAACAAACAAAAGTAGAAACAAAACAAAAATGTATTTAAGAGAATTTATCCAATGCATTATTAACAAAAAATGTTTCACAGGTTTTAAAGATTTCTTTTTTTGTTAAAAACTGTATTAATGAATTTTTTTGTTAAAAACTGTATTAATGAGTTTAAAAATTTGTGGGCAAAATGTTTATATTTAAAAAAGTAGAAATTTTTCAACAATATTTGATCAAAATCTATTAGAATTACAAAATCCAATTTTGTAGGACTATCATTACAATCAAGAACAGCTTTGCATCTATGAGGCATGAAGTCAACTAAATGCAAACATCAATCAGAATTAAGTGCAATATTTCTTTGATTTTTCTGAATAAGTTAGCATGATTTGTAAGCTTGATGTCTAACATTCAGCCTCAAAACTTGAATTTTATTCTTTTTGAAGAATTCTTAAACCAATTTGTCCATACGTTTGCGATCCTTTTTCTGATGTTATATCAATCCAGCAGGCATTTTATCCTTTACATGCAGTTATACAATGTTTTTACAATGTTCTTTGTCCATTTATTGATCAATAGTTCGAGTATATCTATGGAGCGAATCAACACCATCTTGACTAAAACATCACAAAATTTTTACATTACTTTCTCCATGTTTTACAGTAAGTAGTTGGGATTTAGGATCATTTTTGATTTTGTACCCTCTGGACGTCAAACAAACATTCCATCTTTAAAAAAGATATTAGTATCACAAGCCTGGCGTTATGTTATATTGCGTGGTCTTCTTGATTTCTTTTGAATCATTTTAAATCCAAATTCAAATCTTTTCATAATTTATTAATCAGCAGACTTACAGGCTCCATGAAAGTCTTACAAAACAAATTTCCATTTGAACTAATCTTGCTACCAACTTTTTCACTGGAGATATTATACATTTCTTATACCCATTGACCTCAATAACTTAATAATAAATGAAGATTTCCAAAAAGTATTTGTTTACAGTTGCATTAAATTAGCATTGTTTAGAAAAAAATGTGAGCTTAGTAAAAATCATTAATTATTGAATCAATTAAAGTACATTAATTAAATGATCAATACTTAATCAAAGCATGATGGTAAACATGAACATCTTTTAATTGATAATATATTGGATTTGGTGAAGTAAGTGCTGAAAATTTTATAAAGTTCAATTTTATTTTACCTGTCCACAAGTTTTTGGGTTCACCTTATTAATCTATAACTAGCTGAGATCGGATCCATAAAAATACGTCTTTGTAAATCTATTACAAACCAAACTTTTCTATACTTTTTCTTTATAAATCCTAGCTTTCCGTATCCATAAAATACAGGTCTTTACCAATCTACATATTTATTCCTCACCGATTATTTCTATAACTATTCCTTATTTACTTTAATATTTTTTAGTAAAATAATTTATTCTGAAAAAAACTTTAACAGCAAAAAACCTAACATGCGCACCTTTTCCGCATACATAGAGCTTTTAAGAGACTCATAATTAGGTTTATTTTTCTGCTAAATGCATTTGATTGATAGCTCAGTGGTTAAGTGCGCTGTCATCAGTGTTATTTTGGAGGTTTTAAGACCTCCTCTTAGCGTAATAAATTTTAAAATTTTTTCAATCTTGTTTATTTTTAGCAAAAAAATAATAATATAGCAAAAAAGATTTCTAAAATTTAAAATAAAGTTTTCTCATTTTATAGATATATTATACGCAATTCCATATAATGCCTGCAAACTCAACATATGCTTAAGGCGTTTACACTTACAGCCGTTTGTACGTAATGCCATACAAATGGAACTAAGAAGATCTTAGAGCATTAAAACAAATTCATAAAAAAAATTCTTTCTTATGAACTAAAGATCAATATTAAGCGCTAATCAATATTAAGCGCTAATAAAAGTAAAGAATATTACAGGCTAAATATGATTTAAAATAATAAAAAAGTAAAGAATGTTACAGGCTAAATATGATTTTGTGTATTTACGTCAGTTTGTGGCAAAATAAACCTTTATGCATCAAGTTTCCTTTTGCATTTATCTTACTTTTTTTTTTGTTATATTGCATACAAATGCATAAAAATATGTTAACATGGATATGAGGTTGTATTTATTACAATAGTAATAAATAAATAGTTTTTGTCTTTATTAGAATATATCTCATAAAAATATATTTCATATATCTTTAATTATTATTATTATTATTATTATAGTTTTTGCTGTAGCTGGTAGAATAGCCAGCAAGTGTGAATTGCACTTTGACAGCCTTATCAAATATCAATAAAATTTTTTATAAATGTGTGTAATTAGTCACTTTTCTGTCAGCAGAAGCTATAAGCGAAAAAAGATTTTGCGTTAACAGCTTCTGCCTGTAAACGCAAAATCTTTTGTGCGTTTCTATTTGTTAAGAAGTTATGTCTTATTGCATTGCTAATAATTTTCCTATCATATCTAAACTTGTGACCTCTCGTGTTCAAATTTTTAAATAATGGTAGATTGATAAGTTCAACTTTTTCTATTTCTTTAAACATTTTGTACATGTGTATCATGTCTCCTCTGGATATCCTCTGCTCCAGGGTTCAATTAAGTTTGTCGAGACGATCTTTATAGCTAAGTTTTTAGATTAGGAACTATTTTACTTGCTCGTCTTTGAACTTTTTTTAAATTAAAAATATCTCCTTTTATATTTGAAGACCATACTGTGGTAGCAAATTCAATATGCGGTAATAGAAAGAGTTTTTTAAAAAAATTTGAAACAAAATATTATTTCTATGACTATCATTTTGAAAGGTCTAAGAAGCAGATGATGTAATTTTAGCAATCAGAAGTTATCAAGAGAGGGGCAAATCTAAAGTTTGAAGTTTCAAATTTTCCACTTAGGTGTGACAATATATTTCGTGTTTTTTCAATCTTGTCAATTTTTTAAAAAATAACAACATAACTACAAAAAATCAAAACAAAACAGCTTGAGCAAAAAATATTTTTATTTTTATTTTTAATAATAACTAAAAATCAAAATAGAAGTCATTTTTGCTCAAGTAATTATTAGAAAAGTTGACTTATATTACATACAATCCTGAATAAAACATTATATAAGTGAATTTTTTACATTTTATAAACAAAATATTTAAACAAATAACATATTTGTTTAAATATACATTATTTAACCATATAGGGATGGTTAAGCGCAACAAAGTTTAAAAAAAATGAGTTTATATTAAAATTAAAAAATGATTTATATAATGTTTCTTTCCAAACACCAACACACTATATTAAAATTTTTAAGTGCACTAAACTGCAATTACTTTTTATTTTTTTGGTTTAGTGGCTTTTGTTAAGAACTTTTAAATTTTGCGTCGAATTATCTCATTTCAACATATTCGTTGCATCATCCATACTGCAGCCTTTTTCAAATCGCCTTAATGTAAAAAATATCAATTTTGACTTTTTTATGTCTACAACATTATTAAATACATATTTTCAAAGAGTTCTGAAAAAATTCATAAAAATTATTCATTTCAAAAAACGTTTTGCAAAAAGTTAATTTTTAATTTTTTTTAATTTTTTTTTTTTTAATTGCGTTTTTCTCAAAATACGTAATAAGCATGTTAAGACATTTTGAAAAATGTCTGAAGCATATATTTATTGTAAAAAAATAAATGTACCAAAAAAAACTTTTAAAATCTTTTTGTTTTATTAAAGTGTATAATATGTTTGTATATAATCTTTATAAAACTTCAAAAATATTTTTATTTTAAATTAATCGAAAAAAATTAAAAAAAAAAAGTAGCCAGTGGGAGAACCACGGCTCACTTGTTCAAAAACTCTACTAGGCCACACAGGCACGTTGTTAAACAAAAAATTTCAAAACTATATAATAATTTTTTTAACGGAAAGAAATGCTGTAGATCAAAATTAAGGAGAGCTTGACTTTATGCAATTTTCAATTGAAAATCAAACTGTAAAACTTGATAAATGTTTCAGTATATTTTATCATTACTTAATTTAAAGTTTATGTAAGTTAGAAATTTGCATACACATTCGTTCACATTTTCTTATAAAACAAAGTGCTGTGAATCTTTCTTGCCATTAACTCGCTTGCAATAGCTGCCAAGTGTACCGTGTCAAACAAGCTCAAAAGCGCACTGCTATTAAGTTCAGTATTATTAAATATATTAATTTATACTATTGTGTAATTTATTTTCTACTTAATTACCATGTGTTTGAAAAAACCTTTGTTGATAAAAAATTAAAAAATACAAACTTTTTATTTAACTAATCAACTTTATATATATGCAGATTTGTAAATCGTTTGTAAATCATACCTGACAAAGTCTGTTAATGAACTTTTGATTAAAGTTATAACAAACAGTTATAGAGTACACATACTATTCGTTTATGATTTATTTTATATACAACATTTTTTTTTTAGATTTGAAGAAATGGGCAGATTTAATGAAAAAAAGAATTGGAAGTCTGGGTTTAACAAAACATACTGATATTAGAACACATATTTATGGTGAAGGTAAGCTGTTAAAAATTTTCCTCATTTTTTTTTCATGCTATATCTTTTTATATGTCTTGAAGTGAATCATCATAGTAAGTAAATTATCATTAAAGTCAGTAAATTTAAACTTTAAGCTTAAGTATTAAGCTCCTAGAGCATAGATATGCATGTCTAAGAAATCAAAAATTATTGTTCTAGTCTCAGTATAAGAGTATTTTGAAAAGTTTTGACCTTGAGTTTTATTGTTTACAACAATTTAAAAAATAAAATAAGATATCGTCTAATACATAATATCATAAATAGACAAAATAAGAGTAAAAATGAATATATATAAATTTATATAAATATATATATATATATATATATATATATATATATATATATATATATATTTATATAAATATATATATATATATATATATATATATATATATATATATAAATATATATATATATATATATATATATATATATATATATATATATATATATATATATATATATATATATATATATATATATATATATATATATATATATATATATATATATATATATATATATATATATATATGGATGGAAAATAAACAAATAGAGAGTATAATAGAGTAAGTAGAGTTTAACAGTATTTTTGGATTTAGAGCTTTTAAGAGCTCTGATAGATGTTTAGATCTGGCATTTTTTTCAACCCAACATACTACCCAAACCAAATCACTTATAAAACTGTTTTCAGCTATAATATATACTTAATATTTTACTTACATTAAATAAGTTACTACATGTTAAATAATATATTTTGAGATACTTCACTCAACTATATAAATAATATATTTTGAGATACTTCACTCAACTATATAAATAATATATTTTGAGATACTTCACTCAACTATATAAATAATATATTTTGAGATACTTCACTCAACTATATAAATAATATATTTTGAGATACTTCACTCAACTATATAAATAATATATTTTGAGATACTTCGCTCGACTATCCTTAACCCAATCCAACTATCCAAAACCCTAACAATCTGAGCTCAATGACAAACTTTCAAAGAATAATATTACAATCAGAAAAACTAAAAATTAAACTTTGGAACTATAAACCTTTACTATGTGTAGATAATGATTTTCTAACATCTGCAAAGAGATTTCATAATCATAATCATAGATAGATTAGTTTCATAATCATCGTTATTATCATAGATATCATCACATGTTCATTAGTTATTTACAATTATAAAAAGTTAGTTTTAAAAAAAAGAATATGTAAACAATATATAACAATTACATAAAACAATATAAAAATATGAAATAAAAAAACATTGCATAATATTTGCTAATGCTTTAAAGGGGAAATTATTTTTTCTGTTTTAGTTTTAACTTCAAAAGAAAATGAGGTATCCGATGAAGAGAGTGATCTAGTAGCAGGAATTTTCGCCAAAAAAAATGCTAAGAAAATAGCTAACTCTATATTTCATTTGGAAGATTGTTCACAGGTGAAAAAAGAAAAAAATAATAACGACATTTCAGATGACCTTATTGATAAAATTGGAGTGTTAATTAAAGATTGTTTTGTCACAGGAAAATGGTCTGCTGCAGAAGATGCTGAGCAGTTGTTGAACTTAGAAGATGATGAAGGTAGTTTTTTTTTGTTTGTTTTGTAAATAGTTTGACAATAAAAAAAAACAAAAATAAAAAGTTTTGATTATTATAATGAATTTAAAAATTTATTTTAAATTTATTTTTTAATTTGCTTTTAAATTAAGATTTTTAAATATTTGAGTTTAATTTCATCCACATTTAATGTGACTAAACATAACATCCTGGTTTGTTTTGTTAACCTAAAAAGTCTTAATCTATATTTACATTTACAAAATGTTATTAGAAATCTTTGTGCTTTTAATATTAACATTTTATAAATCAAGATTTTTCTGAATTTTTTTTTAAATTAAGCTAATAGTGCAGGAATTTGCTTACTTACGGAATGTATTTGTCTACATATCAATCCCATAGTGTTCTCAAGAAATTTTATCATTTCAGTAGAATGTTTGTCTACAAATTGATCAAATCACTTGCACTTAATAAAGGTTTAAAAAAAAAATTTATCGAAGCCACACAACCTTATGTTTTTAAATTTTTAATTTTTTAAATTGTTATTTTTAAATTTGAAAACTTTATTATAAATTTTTTTGATTTTTTTTCTTTTTTCTTTGATATAAGTAATCTGCTTCGAACAAAATACAATAGATCTGACTTTATTCTTTAAATCTCAATATATAGGTCATTAGTGGCAATTTCTGCTTAAACTGTTGTTTTTAAAACTGTTTCTTCAATGAGTTGTTTTTTTCTTTACTTTTTATTCTTTCTAGAAATTCCGACCTGTAAAATATGGGTCTTGGTAAGTCAATTCTACGCTGACCATATACTCATTCCTTACTTCAATATTTTTTAGTAAGTGGTAAAAAAACTATATATACTGTCTATTTTTTAAAGTTATGAATTAAAAAATAATATATAACATAATTAACTTAATTTTTTATTACTTTGGTAGTTGTTGCACAAACCGCCTCTTTTCAGCAGTTCGGATAGTAGATTCCAAAGCAAACATTCAAAATAATTTTAGAATACCTCTCTTGAAATGTGATTAATTACTATTGGTATAAAAAGTTTAAATAACATTTGGAATTAAATTTAAAAATATATGGAATAATGAACTTAAGATGACCTGTATAATATTATCATAGTAAGTCTATTCCATACCAATTATTTCTGTACTTATTCTTTATATAGTCGTCTTATTTGAATAATATTTAAGTAAATGATAAAAAAAAATTTAAAAATGTCAAATCTTTGTTTTGAGTTAATGATTAATGGTCAATATTTTATAGCTTCTTATTGTAAAATTGTAAACTTCTATTAAAAAAAAACAGGTACGGACTTATTTTTTTTAAATTATATTCCATTTAAGTTTTTAATCAAATTTTTTTCCAGACCATTCATAGTTTATCACAGCCCTAGCCTCATTAATTAATTTTGAAGAAATTAAAAGTTATAATATAAATTTTTTTTTCTTATAATAAAAAAAGGTGTGTATTAAACCCACAGATTTGACTAATGCTTCATAAGCGCAAATAATTTCTGTCAATGTTTTGATGTTTATAGAAATTTTAGGCTATTTTAAAGTATTTAAAATAGCCTAAAATTTCTTAAAGTTTTTTAAATATTAAAAAACTTGAAGAAATTTTAAATATTTATTAAACGAAAGACAGCAATTAAATGCCATAAATCAAACTTAAGGAGATGTCGCAGCATTGTAATTTTCAAGTGAAAGTAAATTTGTAAAACTTTATATAATTTTAACATTACAAAGTTTAAATTTTACATAAGTTAGATATTTGCATAGACTTTTGTTTACATTTTCTTATTAAAAGAAATTCTGCGACTCTAACTGGGCATTAACTCGGATGTGATAGCTGCTGTAAGTATTGTGTCAATCACGCACGAATGAGTAACAGCAGCATTAAATTCAATAGTAATATAATACAGGATTGATAGGTTAAGAATGTGAAAAATTTATTTCTAGTTCTTTATAATGATATTTTTTATTATTGAAATTTTATTTTAGATGTTTATGGAGATTTTGAAGACTTAGAAACAGGTTTAGTTGTGAATAGTAAAACTGCTGAAAAAGATAAAGAAAGTGAAGAAGAAGATATTGAAAAAGAGGATAATAAAAATCAGAAAGAAAGTGAATCAACTGATAAACGAAAAGAAAAGAAAAAAAAACTGAAAGAAATGTTTAATGCAGATTATGATGAAGGAAAAGGTAATTTTTTTTTTGCTTGTGTTCAAAAATAATGCATCCATCATTTATTATGTACTTATAGATGTTTTTTATGTAATTTTTTTATGAAAACAATGTGCTTATTTTTGTGGTGAAGAAAGTATAAAAGTTTTCTAGTTTTTTTGATAAACTTCTTTTTTTTAGGCCTCTAAAGTTGGTAATTTTTTATTTAAAAAGTTTGTAAGAAAATTTGGCAGTTTGTTTTTGTATTTTAAGGTCCTAATACTTATTATGATGATATAAAAAACACAATGACAGATCAAGCAGAGCTAAATCGGAAAGAATTTGAAAATTTCGATGATGAAGTTAGAGTTCAATATGAAGGATTTAGAGCAGGTCTTTATGTACGAATAGAGGTATGTACTATTTTCAAAGTATGAAACTGTATAGTAAATTTATTGTAGGCTGTCAAAGTAAGGCAACACATCAATAATTTAACCCACAAAAAAATTTTTAAATCCATAACAATAAATAAAACAAACCATAATAAATTTTCAAAAATGATTTAATTATGTGAATTTTGTTTAACAAAAAAATTTTCATATTCACTTATTGAATATTAATTTCTATAATAAAGTTTGCCATTCTTAAAAATATATAAGTGAATATGCGCTTGTATTATTTATTGAGCTTTTGCGTATAACTAAGAACTAATTGAATTGTTATACATGCAACAAAACCTATGAAATTCCACTAAGAACTCCATTTCTTGATGATATGATACTTATCAAGAAATTCTTTGTAAAAGCAAAATAAAAATGTTTTTAATTAATTTATTAATCTATAGTTGCTAGCAGTAAGTTTTATCATGGTTATCTACCAGCCATAATTGCTATCAGTAAAGTTTATCATGGTTATCTATTAGCTATAATTGCTAGAAGTAAGGTTTATCATGGTTTACATGCCTCACCCTACAATTTTTTATTATAACTATCTTGCATTAATATTTGTTGAAAATTAGCTACAAAAAAGATACACTTAATAAAATTTTAATTACAAGTTTATTTTAAAAAACCTATATCCATTTAAAAGTCTATTTTTGAAAGAACTTTTTGAATTTTAAAATTGTCAAAATAGTAAATCATACCAGCATTGTCAATTATAAACACTTATTAAAGAGGAATTTTGGAATTTCTTACGTTGTTTACTTATTAAAAGAAGAGGATTTTTTGAATTTCTTACATTGTTTGCTTATTAAAAGAAAAGGATTTTTGGAATTTCTTACGTTATTTACTTATTAAAAGAAGAGGAATTTTAAATTAGAATATAGCAGAAGGTTGACTTGACTAGTTTTAGGAAGGTAATCCAACTAAGCCTGCCAATACTTTAGGTATTGGCAGGCTTAGTTGGATAAGGAAAAGAAAAAATTGTGTTATTTTGTTCTACCAATTTTAAAATACATGTTATATTTTACATTTAATTTTTAATTATAATTATAACTATCCCTAAAGACACACTCAAGTCTTAGTATTTGCTTTAACTATGGATTATAATTCTAATAGTTCACCTTGTAACAAGTTGAAAAAAGCTTTGTTGTGGTTTAACATTGTACTCAACTTCACCTTTAGCCAATCTTAGCTCCCAGACTGACACAGACTATCTATTCACAGACTAATCTATTTTTGTATCTATTTCAAAACAAGTAATGAAAAATGAATCCACACTGTAAAATAAGCTAGAATTACCTTTTAAAAAATTTTTTTTGTGTTTTTTTATTTATTATAATAAAATATTAAGAATATTGTTTTTAAGTTGACAAAAAATGAAAACAATGCTGATACTATATGAAAAACTAAAATTGTATAAATTAAAAATAAAAAAATTAACAAATCAATCATTAAAAACAAATGTTTGTTTATATTTAGCTAATATTGTTTAAGTTTAAATGTTTATAAATTATTAATATTTATTTAAATATCATATTAAAATTGAAATCATTAATCATAGTTAATAGTTATAAGAAATAAAATATTTTTTTACATAAAATATTTTTTTACAAAATTAAATTAGTATATAAGGTTTCCTCTCATTTTTGCACTGGCCATTTTCTTACATCTGGTTTCATTCTCTACTTCGATTACTCTTTTATTAGGCCTTGTATGGAGCACTGTCATCATACTTGAACTTGTTCTTCTAATGAAGTGCTCTCTTTTTTAGAAAAGGTCTGGAAATGAATTGTAAATGTTGTTGCTCCTACTCTAGCTGCTAAGTTTTAACCTCTGTTCTATTGTTGTAAGGTTACATCTCTTTCTCTTTTTATAAATATTACCTCAGTCACTGCTTAAGCAAGCTATCAACACTTGTTCAAACAAAACTCAATCTTATATACCATTCAGCTAAGTTGCATCTCTCCCGCTAACATGTTTTGCAAAATCTTTTAATTTTAAGTTTTTAGCAACTGCTTAAGTCTTCTAGGAACTGCTTTTTTGATCTTTTTTTTTTGAACATAAATGCTTTGGATATCTCTAAAAAAATGCAAAGATATGCATCAAAGGACTAGGCAAAGCTGTCAAGCCTAAGTGAAATAAGATAAAAATTTAGGAAGTGAGGAAGGATAAAAAAAAATTAAAAAGATATATTGAACAGAACAAAAACAAAACTAATAACTTAGTAACAATATAAAATTTAAAAAAAAAAAGATGATACATGTGGATTAAAGCAATGCGCAAACAAAACAAAGACAAAGTACTTAAATATGCATATACATATATATATATATATATATATATATATATATATATATATATATATATATATATATATATATATATATATATATATATATATATATATATATATATTCCTGCCAATTCCATGGCGGAAAATGAAAAAGTTGTCAAATTTTATTCTCTTTTTCGTCAACTTTTAGCAAATGAATATTGATGTAGACATTGATGTTCATTTAAAATATACCTTTACTACTAAAATTAATTTATTAAAGTCATTTTTATACTTCTGAAAGTTTTTATGCTTCTGAAAGTTACAGTTTTTCTCATTGTAGTATGATAAAAAAAGTTTTATTGTAAAATGTTATTTTAACAGTGATGTTATTTAGATAATCGGAATCAATTTAGCGTGAAAATGAAGCTAACATATTAAATTGTTGTTGGTCAGATTTTATACTTTATAAAATATATATATTTCAAGAAAATAACTAAAGAACTTTTGCAATTTGTTTCAATTTTACTTACTTCAATTGTAAGTTAACAAAATTATAAAGTTTTATTTTTTCTAATATTTAGTTAAAAAACATAACTTTTTTAATAATATATGAGAATATTAAATGTTACATTTTTGCATTTAAAGTTTTGAATAACCATGCTTAGTTAAAGCACATTTTTATTTTAAATTTGTGTAACATAAGTTAAAACTACATGCATTTACTAAAGTACTGGAGCTTTTTTGTTTACAAAATGAGTTATGTCATTAAGTAATTCTTATTTTGTCACATTCTTTTGACAAGAATCTAACTGAAACTTTTAAAGACTCTCAGAAACAGTTCCATTAATTTTTTAAAATTTCCTTTGTTGATTATTTTTAATGAGTTCAATACTTTTACAATTATTTGTAACTCTAACGCTTAATAATAGATATAAAAAATTCACAATAATATTTGCTTGGTATCAAAATAACCAGTTTATTTTACTTAGCTGGTCAACTCTGATAAATTTTTATATATTTTTTAAATTGGTATAGAATTCTCAACATCTTGTGAATATTTCTAATTAAAACACTTTACTGGTTTGCAAAAATCTGACCTAAAAGTTGAAGCAATATTTTTACCTTGTTTTCCATGTAACGTAAGTTAAGTTGCATTTTCAGTAATTTCAATTTTCAATAGTTCTTTTTGGTGAGGCTCAAAACTTTTTATTCTTTAAATAAGTTAACGTAAGTAAGTGTGAAACGTAAGTTAAAAATGGAATTGCCTATATATATATATATATATATATATATATATATATATATATATATATATATATATATATATATATATATATATATATATACACACATATATATATATATATATATATATATATATATATATATATATATATATATATATATATATATATATATATATATATAAAGTAATATAAATATAAAAAGAATATATAAAATATATTGATTTTACATATGCACATATAGAGAAAAAATAAAAAATGATCCACATCGCCTGTAGCCTTTGTCATATCAGTCATTTTTGCAATAAAACAGATCTCACTAAAGAAAACCCAAGCACCTGCAAACCCCCACCCACCCCTTTAATTTAAGCAACATCAATAGTTTATACAAACTTTCAACTGCTTTCTTAATCTTGAGCTCTTTTCTTTGCTTTTCTGTTAACTAAGTTTAGTTTGCTTCTAAGCTTAGTTTGTGAATTAGTTTTTTAATTTAAAAAAATAAATGTGAAAATATATATCAGTATATTAAATGTGTTTTTTAAAAATCACTTGAATTGCAATTGGCAGGTTTTTTAAACTCATTAATTTAAAAGTAACTAAAGAGTTCAGTTTTAGAAACTTTTTTAAAATATACAGTATTTTATCAATTTTATAAACTAAACATACTTTTATAGAAAACTGCTCAATAAATAATACAAGTGCATCATTTAATGTATTTTTAAGAATGGAAAATTTGTTAATATGTAATTTTTTTTTAGATTTCAGGTATCCCTAGTGAATTTATAACTAACTTTGATCCAAGTTACCCACTCATTGTTGGTGGACTACTTTCTGGTGAAGATAACATTGGTTACATACAGGTATATATGTTTTTTACAAGTTTCAAAGCACAAATATAGATTGTTTTCAATAAATATAATTTATGATATTGACCATGATGATGATGATGATGATAGTGATGATGATTTTTTTACAATTTTAGACTCGCTTTAAGAAACATCGATGGCATGATAGAATATTAAAAAATAGAGATCCTATAATTGTGTCTCTTGGTTGGAGGCGTTTTCAAACTATCCCTCTTTACTCAATGCAAGATCATAATGGACGTCTTCGTTCACTAAAATATACTCCTGAGCATTTACATTGTATTGCTACAATGTATGGTATGTGTAAATTAATCAGTTATTTTGTAACGGCATTTAAGTGTTTAAACAATGATTTTTATATTTTCCTTAGGTCCTGTTACTCCTCCAAGCACTGGAATGCTAGCAATCCAGACATTGTCAGATAGAACAGTAAGCTTTTTAATTTTTTATTTAAAGCATTTTTTTTTCAATAATTTATTTACATTGGAGATTCTTTTCCTAATATTTTTTTTAGACAAAATTTAGAATTGTTGCTACTGGTGTTGTTATAGACCTTGATAAATCAATTCAAGTAGTGAAAAAACTCAAACTGGTCGGAACACCTTTAAAGATCTACAAAAATACAGCATTTATCAAGGTTAGTGCAATGACTTGTGTAATGCAGATTATTTAATCAGCTAGTGTAAGACTTTGTGACTTTGTCAGGTCAGGTTTTCCTACTTACTGTCAGGTCAGGTTTTCCTACTTACTGTCAGGTCAGGTTTTCCTACTTACTGTCAGGTCAGGTTTTCCTACTTACTGTCAGGTCAGGTTTTCCTACTGTCAGGTCAGGTTTTCCTGCTACTGGTAACATGTAACCCAGTACAACCTGCTCCATGTCCTGCTGCCTTGTAGGATACGCTTTTTTAGGCAAAGGCTAGGAGAAGTTAACTTCGAATTAAAACACCCCCTGCCTTGGGGCTCTTGGTTGAGTAAAGGCTAGAAATGGTGTCTCGATAAAAATACTCATCTTGGGCAGATGTTACATGCATCCAGCTGCTGTCTTGTAGAAGGCCTCCTAGGCAAAGACTTAAGGGGTAAACAGATTCTATCTGTTGACCAGCCTCGCACCCCTTCCTCATCTATTAGGCTGGCGCAGATGTATTTTTAATACATTGTTTCCAGTTTAGGATGTTGAACGCTGGATCTTCTTGACTCAATGCGTGGGTATTGCTTGTGTCTCTATTTTTATGACTGGGCAACTCATTCTATTATCTCCTAATGAGGGTACAGCTCTAAAACTCAGTTTTATGGTTCTGAGGCCGGCTGGTAGTCAGGTTTCCCGAACTCTGTGGTAGCTCTCAGAGAGGCTGATTCCATCAACAGCCGAAAAATATCAGAGTACTAACAGTGCCATGTTGCGCATGGATGGTGTCCCTGTTTGTACTTTTAGTGTGCATTGCAGAGGCCACATTTGGAGCCCTTTGTTACGGCTTAGGGTTTATTAATAGTAATGAGGCTATTGCTTAGTTGTTAAATAGTGTACTGAGTACTATCTATACTTGAGTCAAGTTCTTTATAAATTTAAAATGACTAAAGTACCTAAAACTAAAAAACACAAAAAACCATCGTCATCACCAAGTTCTCTAAACCTATCATTTACTAATATTCGTGGTCTTCGAAGTAACTTTTCTTCTGTTGAGTCTTATCTCTTGCAAAGTTCACCAGACCTCTTTGCTCTTTGTGAGACTAATTTGAGTTCGGCTGTCCCATCTTGTGATCTTAGTGTTGATGGTTATCTTCCTTTAATTCGTAAAGACTCCAATAATCACATGCTTGGCCTGGGCATCTACATTCGTAAGAACTCACCCATTTGTCGTGAAACTAGGTTTGAATCTACAGACTATTTATTTATGTGCTTTCGTTTAGCACAACTTCACTCTATCGCCTTTCTCTTTGTTCTATATCGCTCTCCTTCATCCCAAGACTGCACTATTCTTGATGTTATTTCTGATCAAATTGACCAAGCCCTCTCTCTTTATCCATCGGCCAATATCGTCGTTGTTGGTGACTTTAATGCCCATCACACCGATTGGCTTGGCTCTAGTGTCAGTGACTCTGCTGGCGTTAAGGCCCTCAACTTTTGCCTTTCTCAATCTCTAACTCAAATAGTCAACTTTCCAACTCGTTTTCCAGACAACCCTAATCATTTACCTTCTCTACTCGACTTATGTCTTGTTTTGGATCCTAGTCAGTGCTCAATTTCTCCACATTCACCCTTAGGTACTTCTGATCACGGTTTGATCTCTCTAAAACTATTATCAAATTCTTCTACTTCATCAGAATCCCCCTATCATCGTACCACATACAACTACCTTAAAGCTGACTGGGACTCTTTCCGTGGTTTTCTTTGTGATGGCCCTTGGGTAGAAATCTTTCGTCTTCCTGCTGACAAATGTGCTTCTTACATAACTTCGTGGATTCAGGCTGGCATGGAATCTTTTATTCCCTCTCGACGATTCCAGGTCAAACCTCACTCTTCTCCTTGGTTTTCCTCACATTGCGCTGCAGCAATTTCTAATCGAAACCGTTACTTCCATATCTATCAGCAAAACAATTCTCCAGAAAACAGACATCTGTTCACTATCGCCAGAAACCATTGTAAAAAGGTTTTGTCTGACGCCAAAGCTCGCTATTCCCAGGTCATTAAATCTCGTATCTCATCACAAAAATTAGGCTCTCGAGTCTTCTGGAGAATCTTTAACAGTATCAATAATAAGGGCAAATCTGTTATTCCTTCTCTCTTGTATGGTTCAGACTTTGTCACCTCACCTAAAGACAAAGCTGAATTGTTTGCTAAGAACTTTTCATCAATATCATCTCATGATTCCACTAGTTGCGTTTTACCTGACATAGCCGTCAAACAGGTTGATCCCTTGCTTGACATTCGCATCACTTCAGCTTCTGTATCTAAAGTAATTTCCTGCTTAGACTCTTCAACAGCTTGTGGTCCTGACAACATTCCTGTTGTAGTTTTGCAGAGGTGTTCTCCGGAGCTTTCATCCATACTTTCTAAACTATTTAACAAGTGCTTATCAGAGTCTTGTTTTCCATCATGCTGGAAAGCAGCATCTGTTATCCCTATTTTCAAAAATTCCGGAGAGCGATCTGATTCATCTAACTACCGTCCCATTAGTCTTCTTCCTGTCATAAGCAAGGTTTTTGAATCTTTAATCAACAAACACTTAATCTCTCATCTTGAATCAAATAACTTACTTTCTGATCATCAATATGGATTTCGGTCTTCTCGTTCTACAGCTGATGTGCTAACAGTAATAACCGATAGGTTTTACCATGCATTAGATAGAGGTGGAGAGGTTAAGGCTATCGCACTTGACATTTCTAAAGCTTTTGATAAAGTTTGGCATGCTGGTCTTCTCCATAAGCTTTCTTCTTATGGTGTAGCTGGTAACGTCTTTAAGATTATTGAGTCCTTTCTTTCCAATCGTAGTATAAAAGTTGTCCTCGATGGACAACACTCTTCTTCACATCCTGTAACTTCAGGGGTTCCTCAAGGTTCAATCCTTGGCCCTATACTCTTTTTAATTTACATTAACGATCTTCCAGATATTCTCACATCTAAGGTGGCATTATTCGCTGACGACACTACCATTTACTCTTGTCATGATAAGAAGCCTACACTCTCTGATTGCTTGGAGGGGGTATCTGAGCTTGAAAAGGATCTCACTTCTGCTACAGCATGGGGCTCACAGTGGCTGGTGAACTTTAATTCAGATAAAACTCAATTTTATTCGGCCAATCGTTATCGTAATAATTTAGATCTTCCTATATTTATGAATGGTAATGTACTAGATGAGTCATCTACCATTCATCTTCTAGGATTAACTCTTACTTCTGATCTTTCTTTTAAACCGTATATCAAATCCATTGCAAAATTAGCATCTGCTAAGGTTGCATCTCTTTATCAAGCTCGACACTTTCTTACTCCAGATTCTATTCTCTATCTCTATAAATCTCAAATCTGTCCCTGTATGGAATACTGTTGCCACATCTGGGGCGGATCTTCTAATGATGCTCTTTCTCTTTTAGACAAGGTGCAAAAACGAATTGTAAACATAGTTGGACCTGCTCTTGCAGCCAATCTCCAACCTTTGTCACATCGTTGTAATGTTGCTTCTCTTTCTCTTTTCTACAAATACTATAATGGGCACTGCTCTAAAGAGCTAGCGTCCCTTGTGCCATCTACTAAAATTCACTCTCGTGTTACTCGCCATTCAATTAAGTCTCATCCTTTTTCTGTGACTGTTCCTAAGTGCTTCAAAAACTCTTATTCTTCTAGTTTTTTTCCTCGAACATCAGTTCTTTGGAATTCGCTTCCTTCATCTTGCTTTCCTGATTCATATAATTTGCAATCTTTTAAGTCATCAGTCAATCGTTATCTTGCTCTACAGATTTAGTCTTTTCTCTTCCAGTAACTTCCAACTCTTATAGTGGTTGCTTGCAGCCTTGTTGGAAGTGAAGATGTTAAAAAAAAAAAAAAAAAAAAAAAGCAGCATCTGTTATCCCTATTTTCAAAAATTCCGGAGAGCGATCTGATTCATCTAACTACCGTCCCATTAGTCTTCTTCCTGTCATAAGCAAGGTTTTTGAATTTTTAATCAACAAACACTTAATCTCTCATCTTGAATCAAATAACTTACTTTCTGATCATCAATATGGATTTCGGTCTTCTCGTTCTACAGCTGATGTGCTAACAGTAATAACCGATAGGTTTTACCGTGCATTAGATAGAGGTGGAGAGGTTAAGGCTATCGCACTTGACATTTCTAAAGCTTTTGATAAAGTTTGGCATGCTGGTCTTCTCCATAAGCTTTCTTCTTATGGTGTAGCTGGTAACGTCTTTAAGATTATTGAGTCCTTTCTTTCCAATCGTAGTATAAAAGTTGTCCTCGATGGACAACACTCTTCTTCACATCCTGTAACTTCAGGGGTTCCTCAAGGTTCAATCCTTGGCCCTATACTCTTTTTAATTTACATTAACGATCTTCCAGATATTCTCACATCTAAGGTGGCATTATTCGCTGACGACACTACCATTTACTCTTGTCATGATAAGAAGCCTTCACTCTCTGATTGCTTGGAGGGGGTATCTGAGCTTGAAGCGGATCTCACTTCTGCTACAGCATGGGGCTCACAGTGGCTGGTGAACTTTAATTCAGATAAAACTCAATTTTATTCGGCCAATCGTTATCGTAATAATTTAGATCTTCCTATATTTATGAATGGTAATGTACTAGATGAGTCATCTACCATTCATCTTCTAGGATTAACTCTTACTTCTGATCTTTCTTTTAAACCGTATATCAAATCCATTGCAAAATTAGCATCTGCTAAGGTTGCATCTCTTTATCGAGCTCGACACTTTCTTACTCCAGATTCTATTCTCTATCTCTATAAATCTCAAATCCGTCCCTGTATGGAATACTGTTGCCACATCTGGGGCGGATCTTCTAATGATGCTCTTTCTCTTTTAGACAAGGTGCAAAAACGAATTGTAAACATAGTTGGACCTGCTCTGGCAGCCAATCTCCAACCTTTGTCTCATCGTCGTAATGTTGCTTCTCTTTCTCTTTTCTACAAATACTATAATGGGCACTGCTCTAAAGAGCTAGCGTCCCTTGTGCCATCTACTAAAATTCATTCTCGTGTTACTCGCCATTCAATTAAGTCTCATCCTTTTTCTGTGACTGTTCCTAAGTGCTTCAAAAACTCTTATTCTTCTAGTTTTTTTCCTCGAACATCAGTTCTTTGGAATTCGCTTCCTTCATCTTGCTTTCCTGATTCATATAATTTGCAATCTTTTAAGTCATCAGTCAATCGTTATCTTGCTCTACAGATTTAGTCTTTTCTCTTCCAGTAACTTCCAACTCTTATAGTGGTTGCTTGCAGCCTTGTTGGAAGTGAAGATGTTAAAAAAAAAAAAAAAAAAAAAAAAAACTTTGTAATGTAGACATAACATAAGGAGTGCAATAGTATGACTTTGTGACTTTGTAATGTAGACATGCTAAGACAAATGATTTTATTACAATTTTGTGTTGACAACACAACTTGTTGCCATTTAGTGTACGAAAGTGTCAATGCTATCTTAACTTATATTAATTAAAACTGTAGTAACTGACAATGATTAAAGCTATAGTAACTTACATTAATTACAGATAAGTTGTGTGAATTACAGACAAGTTGTGTAAACTTAACAAAAATTAAATTTATTACAAGAAGCATTAATCATGTTTTTATTTAGTTAAATAAATTTAAACCAAGTATAATAATAAACAAAACATTAAAAGTGAAAATTTAAAAAAAAAATCACAAAATTACTATTTTTAAATTTGAGTTAAAGATCTTTATTTTCTTTAAATTATAAAAATCTTGGTGATTACAAAAAATTTGATGAAAAAGATATTTCAAAATCAACATATAAATATGATAAAAAATGTTTAATCGTTTTTTATTGTAAAAGAAACTAAAAGTTATCATCATTGTTTTAGCAAGCTTCTGCACTTGCACTCCTTTGGCATTTATCATCATGCTATTTCGCCAGTATACACAATCCTGAGCATTTCTTTCTTTATTTAAAGTTTTTTCATGTTATCTGTAATCATACTTTTAACATATCTATTTTACTGAAACTTATCTTTCTACATGTTGATATCCAATCATCTGCATCTTTATGTTCTACGTGCTCAAACCACCCTAATCTTTTTTAGATATATTTTTTTTAGAGTCACAACACACATCAATCTGATCATCATAATCTCTGTTTTTTCAAAACGCTGGATATCATCAAACTTTAAAGTATGGCCACTGCCATACATCACTCATCATACAACACTCTAAGCACGTGTTATGTATATCTTTTTTTGTATTTTGATACACCTCTTGCTGTAAAAAGTCGAAAACTCTCTGAATCTAAGACACACCTGTTGCTCTTGATACATTTTTTGATCCACCAGCTGATCCGACACTCTCCAAAAATTATTTCAACTTAACTTATTTCTTTTTTGTATTCAAGAAAAGTATGTTTAATGTTCAAAACCAACAGTATTAAGATAGTGTGTAATAAAACAGCATTAACTTTTTTATTACACACTTCACACGACCATTTTCTAATTAAAAAAATTAAATTCAATAGAGATAAGTAAATTGTATAAATTTATTTGGAATTTTAAAAATTGCCTCAGGCAAAAAAAATTTCATATTTTTGCTTCAAAAAACTTTTTTCCCTTCACACAATCTTATTTTGATTGTAGTATATGTAATTCCAAGGGTTGAGTATACGTAAACTTTATCATTGAAATATGATCATATTTTGCAATAGTGCTTTATACCAGTGCTTTATTTTTCTTGAATAATTATTAACTGACTTTTTATGAAAAAGTGGAAAGGATTTAACAAATGTTGAAGATCCCTAGCTATAACAAATAAGTTGCATCCCTAGTGTAACAAATAGTAGTAACAAATTTAGTTAATATTTAAATAATGTTTTGAAAACTACTTTGAAGATTTTATTTACGAAATAAAACAGCTTGCTTTCAAAAGTTTTATAGGTTTGTTATTTCCTTACTTTTTATTGGGTATAATATATTTATTCTTTTAATTCCTTACTTTTTATAGGATATGTTTAATTCGTTACATTTTATAGGATGTTTTTATTTTATACTTTTTATAGGATGTTTTTATTTTATACTTTTTATAGGATGTTTTTATTTTATACTTTTTATAGGATATTTAATTCCTTACTTTATTTAGGGCATGTTTAATTCTGCACTTGAAGTAGCAAAATTTGAAGGTGCTTCCATTCGTACTGTCAGTGGTATCAGGGGTCAAGTGAAAAAAGCACTTAAAGTACAGTTTTTAAAGTAATGTTAATATTATTTATATTTTTTGACAATAATTCTTATGTGTTATGCATAAATATTTTATAGGCCCCCCCTGGTGCTTTCAGAGCAACATTTGAAGACAAGATATTAACTAGTGGTAAAATATTTTAATTTAAAATCATAATTACCTTTTTATTATGACAACTCTATAATGTATATTTAAAGTTTGTTGAAATTTTATTTTGCCATTAATAGACCATGGGCCATAATATAAAAAGATGCTTTAAAATTAACTTTCATGTTGCAGTTGTGAGATCTAAAAAATTCCAATGTAAATAAGCGTTTTATGTTGTGAAGATTTTTAATAAAAAATTTAATAATTCAAAACCCCGCAGTTCTTGATTTATCGAGCTTCGAAAAACCATCAAAATGATCCATTGATTTTTTTTCAATTATTTGTATTTACTATAAAAAAAAAAAAATTAGCCATAATGTAATTGTATTTTTAATTTCAAATGGTTTGAAAACAAACAAAAAAATATTTTTAAGTATTAACAAAGGTATCGCATTAATGTGTTGTTATCATGTAGAAAATATCGACTTTATCGATTTATTATCGATTCAGACAGTAAAACAACTTTTTACAATCTGATTAGCTTTTTAAAAACCATTTTTAATTATTTTGAAATATTAAATCTAAAAAGTATTAGTTAAAAAAACTTGGTTTATTGCAAAGTTCTAATAAACTTTCTTCGTATTTGTCATAATCATTAACACCATCATCGTAAACATTGTCGTTAGCAGCAGAATCAGTGTTCTTTCACTTAGTTTAGTTACATAGATCTAAACACTTTGAAGTCAATTTTATTAACAAGCAACATTTAGTTTTACAACCAGTTCTATAATTACACTTTACAAAGTTCAGTACTTTTCTAGCACTAGTTAGGGTTAGCACAAGATTCATAAACCATTCAACGATTCATGTTTCACTAATCAACCTAAATTACGCATATGGTTAGTTGTATTTTGTTCATTATTTCTTTGCTCAGCAGCTTAACAATGTAATCATGCATCTTTTGTTTCTGCCCGACTTAGACATTGCACTGACCATTATTATGGCATCTTAAAAAAGTTTTAGTTTAAAGCAATACATTAATAATGAATAATAATAAACAAATTATGCAGCCATTATAACAAATTATGCAGTTATGTACTGCCCATATTCCAAGTTACTTCTTTTTATTTTAACTAGCTAATAACTCTATCCTGCCATTTAATTTTAAGAAAAGACTAACCTTGATAGGAAAAAAAAAAGACATTGAGAAACGTTTAACTTGTGCAAAGACAGAAACATGTATGCAAAAATAATGACAATGAATAATGATAATGAATGCACAACCAAGCAATAAACTATTTGAAAGAACAAGACTGAGTGCTTTTTTTAATAACTTGGATTAAAAGCTACAAAACTGAGCAATACAGTTAGAAGACCTGTGGTCTATAAAGGTTAAATTTACAAAGTGTTCATATAAGAAAAATGCACCATTATAAAAAAAGGAAAGTTTTTTACTGCTAAAAAAAATTAGTTTGTTGAATGTTTTTTGATTTAAATAAAATATTTGATTTGTAAGATGATTTTTCGACTTTTTTATTAACTTAGTGTTTTTGTATAAAATAAGTTCTTTTATAATTAAAAAATTAAAAAAGCAGACTGAAATCTGAGTTGTTTCAAAAGTGAAAGTCTATAGTTTTTTTTTTTCTGAAGATTGAAGAACCATAAAAGTTCTATGTACTCTTATGTAAAGAGATCCTATTGTTGTTACATTCTAAGATAAATATAATCTTTTATGTAGATTCTTGCAAATGTAAAATTAAAGTTTATAGCTTTTAAGAGTTACATTAAAGTGATAAGCCTAATATTTTTATGAATATCTCGTACAATTTAAACATAATCTTTAGGTGATCTTTTACCCCTGATGATTTAATGATGCCTAATAATGGTTATGACTCATAATAAATAGGATAAGGTAAAAGGAAATATTTACAGTCTCTCTCATAAAACATTACAGCTAAAATAGCTTTAGAATGTGAATCTTGTTATCTTTTAAACCATAGAGATGTTTGACATTTAAAAACTGTATTTATTATTATTTTTTAAGGTTATTAAATTTTTTTACATTTTTAAATATTCTATTCAGTAAGAATTGCTTTTCTGACAGTTAGAAGTGTGAACTGAAATTTTCTGACAGTTAGAGGTGTGAACTGAAATTTTCTGACAGTTAAAAGTGTGAACTGAATTGTTTTGTAATAGCGTATAACTTTTGTTGTTGTTTTGATAATTGGGTTGCAACAATGTTTAATAAATTTTGATATTTATCATTGCAGTTTAGTTACTTTATTTTATTTAATAATTTGGTTATTTATTTTTAATAGACATTGTTTTTTGCCGAACATGGTATCCTTTAACTTGTCCGAAGCTATATCATCCTGTTCAATCATTGCTACTTCCAAAAGAAAAAAGACAGAACTGGCAAGGAATGCGCACTGTTGGACAGTTACGCCACGATCTTGGTTTAAAAATCACACAAAATACTGACTCTTTATATAAGGTTTGAATTTTATTATACAGGTATTGCTGCACAATGTGTGCATTTATAATTATTAATAGCTTTTATTGGTGGCACCCTTAACTTTTTAAAACTTTAAGTTCTTGAAATCCTTCATTATGATTAGTGCATCCAACACCAGTATCAATTTTTAATACCAGTATTTAAGTATAGAAGTACTTAATACTGCTAATACTAGTAGTTGTAGTTTTGACTACTACTAGTAGTTAACCTTTTTTATTTTAAATTTAAGTAAAAAGTAAAAGTTTTAGTAAAAAATTAAAAACTTAAAATTTTTTAATTTTTATATAAAGAAAATTTTTTTAAATTTTTACTAAAATTACTTAAATTTTTTATTTTTTAAATTAATTTTTTAATTAATTTTTAAATTAAATAAATTAAATAAATTTTTTAAAAAAAGTTTTTAAGTTTAAAACAAAGGAGATAAAAGTGCAAAATTAAAGAACTTTAATTTTGCACTTTTATCTCCTTTGTAAAATATGCCAAGTCTACATACCGATTGGCTTTACAATTTTCAGGTATTTTTAGGATTTTTGCAAATATATTCCTCAAGTTCCTTTTCATTTGAAAACTGTAAACTCATTACCGATTGTTTTGAATAAATTTTTCAAAATGTTCAATCTTTCATTGTTTTTAGATTTCTTATTGTTTAAAATTGCTGTCTTTCATTTTTTTGCTTTTCTTTCAATGTTTCAATGATAAGTATGCAAGTATGCTCACTGACTGATCTTCAGTAAAAGGCAGTCAATCTAGAAAAAACTGCAGACAACTAATTTTCAATTTGATTTTAGAAGAAATCAGTGATCAGAAGTTTAGGTTTTTTGAACCTATGAAAACAAAGCCAATGTGGGTGCTTTTTAGCAAGTCAACTTCATGGTTTGTTCTTAGATGAGTATAAATGGCACTGCTTATCCTAAAATTACCCTGACAGAGGTAGAACTTTTGTCTAATCCAATTCTAGCACTCATAACTGATGGCCCCAACGTAATGTTTTCATTATGTTTATTCATAGTAGCACCTTTGTCGTCTAAGGAAACAATATATAAGCAATGATAAAGTAATTTATCTAATTGAATCTAAGGTAAAAATAAGGTAATATAGACTATTGACTAGACATAAAATATTAGTTTAGAATGCAAACGTATAAAGTAATTTATTAAACATAATTATAATTGCTTATACAACTTTATATGACCAACTTTTTGAAATATACAGCATAAATAATGTTTATCTATTATCTAGACATAATTGAGAATCTCGAAATTATGAATATAACATTTTAAATAATTCCTTATCTATTATCTAAAGACATAATTGAGTTCTCAATTATTGTTTAAAACTAGTGTTTGAAATAACAAATGTTTCGTTTTGAGATATTTATGATGCACATTAAAATTAATATGTCTTGTTTTTTACTGAGATAAATTTATTAATGTCAGGGTAATTTTCCATTTGTTATGAAGTTTTTTTTAAAGAACTTATTACTTCTTTCTTGATTCAAGTATTAAATAGCAAGATTATGAATGATTTAAAGACATGAAGTTATTTGGCATACAAAATTATGAGTGGTTTAAAGACTTAAGGAATTTGGTACCCTAAACATACAAAATCATGGATGGTCTGAAGACCTTAAAGAAATTAGAATCCCTAATCATAACATGTGTCATTTTTTATTTTTAACAATTGAAAAAATATTAGCTGCTAGCAGCTAAATTTAGATAAAGCTGTTAATTTTATTATTTTTCTATTAACTGTTGACTAAACAAATTAATTTGAAAATGAACTTCAAAAAAATTTCAAACATAAAAACCTAAAACATGCTTGAATTGGTCTAATTATCTTATTTTATCTTTCTTTTTTTTTTTTTTTTTTGTGTGTGTGTGCCTGTTTTTAATATTTTATGATATTTAGGTGTTTTTATGTTATTAATTTTTTAAATTGAACACTGTAAGTGTAATAATCTTTTTGGTGATATTTTTTAATAAAGGTTGTCCTTGTGCTTAATTATGCTTAATTAGTTGTCCTTATCCAATAGTTATCTCTTTTTTATAAATTAAATGAGTTTTTGTAATGTTTTGTTAATGATTTATGTTTATAAACATTAAAAAATAAACTATTACACAATCTTGCTCTTAAACATGTAAAATCTTAAACATGTTTGGTCATGCAAGATGCAATGTTTTTTTGAGATGAATTTGACTTTAACTCTGACTTATGGTCATTGAGTATGCTAGTCTAACTGAAAACTAATAAAGTTTATTAAGTATTAAAACTAATAAAGTTTATTAAGTATTAAAACTAATAAAGTTTATAAAGTATTAAAACTAATAAAGTTTATTAAGTATTAAAACTAATCAAGTCTATTAAGTATTAAAACTAATAAAGTTTATTAAGTATTAAGTATACTTGTCTAACTGAAATAAATCTATACACATAAGAATATGTTTGTAACTTGTGCATGTTTAAATAAACATGCACAAGCTAAAATAAAATATATAGGAAGCTATAAATAAAAAATAAAGCTATAAATAAATGTTATAAAACATTCTTTCGTTTATAATAAACAAATTGCATAGTATAATAAGTTATAGCATAAAACCTAGAATTTTATATTTTACAGAATCTTATAGTAAAAAAACCTTGGTTATAAAAACATAGATAACCTATAAGAACCTAGGTTAAAAAAACCTAGGTTATAAAATAAATAAATGTTATAAAACATTCTTTCGTTTAAAATAAACAAATAAATTGCATAGTATAACAAGTTATAGCATAAAACTTATATCTTATAGAATCTTAAAGCAAAAAACCTAGAATCTTAAATCTTAATTAATCTACACAAAAAAATGTCATTTTAATGAGTAAATTAAGTTTTAAGATTCTGTGATTGTTCAGTATTTTTATTTATATATATATTTATATTTATATATAGTGATTGTTCAGTATTTATATTTATATTTACATATAGTAATTGTTCAGTATTTTTATTTATATTTATATTTATATATAGTGATTGTTCAGTATTTATATTTAGATATTTTGAGTTGAGGCATCTTTAAATGAAAACCTTTTTTATTTTTTTATTTCAAAGTGACCTAAAAATGATAAAAAAAACAACCCACAATTAATTTGGTGTGTTGTCTACCATAGTTGCATCCAATTTTTAGTTTGTTTTCAATTTCAATTTTATCCTGTGTGTTGTAGCCTATTGAACGTCAAGATCGCAAGTTCAATCCATTAGTAATTCCAAAAAAGCTACAAAAAGATTTACCCTTTAAAACAAAACCGAAAAATCAAGTAAAAAGAAAACAAAAAACTTATGAAACAAAAAGAGCAGTTGTATTGGAACCAGACGAGAAAAAGGTAAATCGTTTTTTCATATTTAAGTTTTTTGAATCGGCACTCTTGGTTATTTGTCTTTGTTAATATTTTCTTGGTAATTTTTCTTGTCATTTTTTCTAAGTGATGTTAGTTTTATTACAGTAGTTTTTAATAATAAAAAGTGAAACTTATTATTTTTGTTACAATAATTGTTATTGTTATATATATTGTAAACAATAATAATTATTACTATTATACGAAAATGGGTGTCATATAAGGTATGACACCATGACATACTTTTGTGGTGAAACCCAAAATGTCGTCTACTCTCATAAAGTTACTACAACTCCTCAGATAGTATTAAGCTAATTTTAAGTATTTAATTTTAGGTTAATACTATCTAATGATAATTAAGTTTTTTTTAAATGTAAATAAATTTTATATATAATTTCTAGCTTATAAATTATTAAAAATACGTCAACTAATAGATTTTATTTTACAATATTTCTTTGTGATTCGGCATCCATAAAGTACACAAGTATGGGAGAAATGGGTTACTAAAAAACGTTTTGGGTCACTAAAAAACGAGCGTACAACAGGAGAAAGTGTTTAAGATAACGAGTAGTTCGCTTTGACTATCTTGCTTATAAAAATTTTTTTTTGATTTCTTTTTTTTACAAAAAGCAATGAATTTTTTGACTAAAGTCCAAAAGAACTAAAGTCGTTTGGCAAATCCAAAGCAAAAGTGTTTTGATTTGGTTGGTCGAAACGTTTGAACCTGAAAAATAATTTAATTTATTTTAAATATTAAACAATAGAAGTTACATAAACACATAGCCTTACAAAGGAAGTGGGGGGGGGGGGCATACGTAGTTATGGATGCCTCTAGATTTTTTTTACTTTTTACTTTTTTATTCAAATTTCCTTTTAATTTGTAAATAGGTCGTACGTCTGATGAAAGGCATATTTGCTGCAAATAAAGAAAAACGTGAAAAGGAGAAGAGTAAGAGACGCGAACAGCATAAAAAGTTTATCGATAAAATCAAAAAGTTGGAAGCTCAACGAGATAAGAAAATTAAAGAACATAAAAAGAAAGTTTTTAGAGTGCTAGGTCAAGAGGAAAAACGTAAGCAAAAATTAGCATCTCGCGGAAAAAAAGTCTAACTGATGAAATTTTAAAAAACTTTTTTTTTACACATTAGTTGAAAGCCATTATTTTTATGGTTTATAGATTTTTTTAAAAAAAGAAGGAAAAAGACGTTTCCTTGAACAAGTATTTGCGATAATATTACAGCTCAATGCTAATTTGGTTTAGTCAAAATTAAAATTACGGAATCGTTTACTATCTAAGAAATAATAATTTAAAAATTATCCAATTAGCTATTTAATTGTATACTTTGTAATGTTTATAAATTTTACCAACCACATACGCGACAAAATTGAAAATGTTTTGTGTATACTTCGAATACAACAGTTTAGTACATTTCAATTTTTTTCTTGTCCATTTGATCTTTGATTAACTTGGTTATTATTATTATTATTGTTATTATTATTATTATTGCTATTATTATTGCTATTATTATTATTATTGCTATTATTATTAATGAAAATTGCCTTATTATTATTAATGAAACTTGAAACATGATATATTATATAACTAGATGTCTAACTTCATTCCAAAAAGTGAAGCCGCCTTTTGCCCTTTTTACAAATGGCGGATTAAATTTGTAAACAAATATTTTTAACTTTTCTTTTCTTAAATGAAGTAAATATATTTTAAATTTAAATACTATTTACATAAAAGTGTTAAGCGGAAATTATAATACTTGTAAAATAATAATTTATGATTCCTTAATTTATTTTCGATTAAAAAGGGATTAAAGTTTTGAATAGAAAAGTAAAACGTCTTACTATTTTGAAGCATTTTTCTGAATTAAAATACTTTTTAATAAACATAGGCTCATAAAAAAGCTATTAAAAGTATTTTATAATTGTTAAAACGTGTTTTTAAATTATTTTTAATTTATTGGGAACTTTTGACGTGCATTTTTAACTTTAATTCCACACTTCGGCTTCAGCTTTTGCCCTTTTTAAAAATGGCGGACTATTGTTATAAACGAAAAAAGCGGCTTCACTTTTTGTCCAATAAAATCCCGCAAGTTAGACATCTAGTTATGTAATATATGATTAGTTGAGGTAAACCAGATTTTTTGTTGACCGTATTTTGGAGAATATTTCTTTATAATGCTTTTTTTTTTTTAAAGTTCAAAGTAAAAATGTCATCTTTAGCGCCAAACTTCATTAAGTAAGCATGATCCTTTTAGTTAAAAATATTTATATGATAAATGGTGTGTTTTTCTGAAACTCTATAGTGAAACGATATTGAGTACTGAAAGAGTATGGAGAGCACCCTAAGGGTAAACGGCGTTTTCTACTAAATGCTCAATAAACTTAAGCAAGACTTTTTTTGACCACCTTTATTTTTAACTTGCAAACTGTTATCATAAGTGATTTTTGAGAAATAAACAATTTTAACACACTTGACATTTTAATAATTAACACTTGACATTTTAATAATTAAAAAATTAATAAAATACATTTATAAATAAAAAAGAAAATTAAGTTCTTTATTTAATTATTATAAATTGAATTAACTTTAGTTTTTAATTTCAAATAGAATCATCTAAGTAAAACAGCGAAAATTTTTACATCTAAAAAAAAAAACTCAGCTTTTTAGTTCTTGAAATCGCAACGTCGTAATTTTCTGAAGCCTTTGTTTTGTACATGATATAGAATAAAATAGTAACTAAATAATAGAAGTTATAACAAAAAGACTCCAACTTAAAACTCATGGATTCTGGCGGATCCCAAAGGTCTAGTCTACACCTCCTTTGGCGTTTAATTTTGGCGACAAATGCTACTTTCTCTTAATCAAGTTTGGTTTATTTCTATCAGAAACAGACCAATATGAAAAAGATTTTCTGATTAAATATATTTAGAGTTTAAAAAATAAATTTTTCATAATAGAAAGAAAAAATTTCGAAATTTCTATTTTCGAAAATAGATTAAGAAATATGGATACGCACACCGTCGAGGATTGTCTTTTACAAGAAATCCTTAATTCTCGTTATTTTTTTCAGAAAATCCAAATACTAACCAGTAAATGAAAGCTGGTTTATTTATAGGCCATCATTTAAATAATAAAATTTCAGTTTACTAACAATTAGACATGAAAATAGCTGCAAAACCATAAAATTAATAAAATATGTTGGTTAATTTCTAATTTTAAGTTTTAAAAATACTTTCTTGAAACAAAATTGCAGTTAACACATTGATTACTTCTGTATTTTCCTTCGACTGAATTTTAAATCTATTGTTTTTCCGATCGAAAAAATTTTTCTAAACATGATTTATCTAATTTGATTTGCTGTTTAAGAAATTTAAAGTAATTATAAATCTTATTAGTATGAAATAAACAAAACACTGCCCAACAGAAACATTGAAATGTCGTTGAAACGTTGGTCTTCGAAAAAATATTTTAACTAAATTATCTCTGTTCTTTCCACATTTTCAAAAAAATTTTAAAAAATTATGTTTAACAGAATATACAAATATTTTCATGATAATAATCTACTTTACATTAATCAATTTGGTTTCAAGGAAAAAAACTCAACTGAACATGCAATTATCCAACTTGTACGTGAAATCTTAAAATCATTCGAAAAATCACAATATATTGTGTTAGCTAGACTAGCTAAACTAACTTGTGTTAGCTAAACTTGTGTTAGCTAGACTAGCTAAACTAACTAGAAATTTTATTGACCTATCAAAAGCTTTTAATACGGTCGATTACCATATTTCAATGTATCAACTCAAATACTACAGAATAAAAAATAAAATTTTAAAATGGTTTAAAAGTTAACCGAAAACAATTTGTATCATTTAACAATAATTACCAACCCACTTTTCTTAATATAACCTGTAGAGTCCCACAAGGTTCGATTCTTGGAACTCTCCTTTTTTTAATTTATATAAATGACTTAAATAAAGCTTCAAAACTAACAAGCATTATGTATGCAGATGATACAAATTTATTCCGTTCTAACTATGATATCGATGAACTTTTTAAAACAGTGAACGAAGAACTCAGACATACATCTAATTCGTTCAAGTGTAATAAGTTAACCTTGAATACTAATAAAACAAAATGGGTTTTATTTCATTCGATTACAAAAAAGTAATTTCTCCCATCAAAGTTACCTCAAATCTTTATCGTTCAAAAGGAAATAAAAAGAGATTTTGTTACAAAATTTTTAGGTGTTTATCATAATGATAACATTACTTGGAATCACCATACTGATTATATAATCACAAAAATTTCTAAAAACATGGGCATCCTATATAAATCACTAATGTATCTCAATAAGGAAGTCTTAATCCAACTTTATTATTCATTTATACATAGTTATTTAAATCATGCCAATATTGCTCGAGGAAGTACAGAAAAAAGTAATTTGCAACGTCTTCATCTCCGTCAGAAAGGCGCAATCTGTAATATCAATTTTGCAAATCGCTTCTCTCATTCGAAGCATTATTTTATTGAAATGAGAATTCTGAATATTTACGACTAAAATGTATTTAATATTTTATGTTTTGTGTATATGTAAATAAATAACTCTTCCCTAGCCGTCTTCAAAGATCTTTTCTCTTTTAAACCAGTCAGTAAATATATTTTGAGAAATAATAACTTTTTAAATGAGCCTTTCTGTCAAACAAACTTTAATCAATTTTGTATTAGCTATCTAGCGCCACACCTTAGGAGTAAAATTGTTTTGCCGAATAATTATTTTGAAGTACCTATTATTTTTTGCTTTTTTTTTAAAAAAAAAAACTCATTCTTTCATTCTTTCATTAGATAATATTTTCAGTTATTATTAGCAAAAGTTAAAAATATATTATGCTCTACTTTTTTTTATTGTTGATATACATGTTTATTGAAGTTTATTCCTACTTATTTTATTTATTGTTCTTATACTTTTTACTTTTTAATTTATATGTTGGTTTACTCTTGTATAAAAATCGGATGAGAAGATCCTCTTGATCTTTCTTCAGAGACAGATTGTTTGTCTTGCAATTTTGTAAAAGTTTATTATCATTTTTTTTATCTTATATTTGTTAAATGCTTTTTTAAGGTTCTGACGACAAGATCCTTGCGATCTTCTTTCAGATACCTCGTTTATGTTTTTTATGTTTTAATAAAAATAATAATATAAACTTACAATTACATAAACATAACAAACATAAACAAGGTATCTGAAAAAAGATCGCAAGGGTCTTGTCGTCAGAACCTTAAAAAAGCGTTTAACAAATATAAGATAAAAAAAATGATAATAAACTTTTACAAAATTGCAAGGCAAACAATCTGTGTCTGAAGAAAGATCAAGGGGATCTTCTCATCAGATGGTTTTTTAAAGCTGTACAATGATTAACAAATGTAAACCAAAAAATAAATGAAAAAAAAAAAAAAAAGCAAAAAACTAAAATACAGCCAATAAAAAATCAAAAATGGTTATAGAAATTGACAGCATAATACTAAAGATGAAAAAGGAATATAATAATAATACTAAAGATGAAAAATCTAACTTATTGAAAAATGAGCTTACTTTTTAAATTCTTCAATAAATTAAGTTAAACACTAAAAACTGGCTCATTCCTTTCAGATATATGTTTCCATTTCCATTAGATTGATTTCAGTAGAAATTGAGGATGATGGCAAAAAGTGGATACAAAGATCGCTAAATAAATCTAAAAGTCTAGTTTAAACTTTTTGCAGCATCTGCTGAAACTAAATAAACTGGAAATAAATTAATTTTGACTAAGAAGTGGATTAAGAACGAATTTTCTAGTAACTTCTAACTTAATAGTAGTTATTTGCAGCCTTGTTAGTAGTGACTTATTTTAAAAATACAGGAAACGCGAGTAGTTTTTCAATTTTAAGAGGTTTTTATTAAACTGTTAGCCTGCTTGTTTAATTCAAATCCCTTAGTCGTATTATTTACCAATACGACTAGAGACGATTCTACAAATAAAAATGTGTCAAATACCCGACTAGCTGATTGTTCCTCAAAAAACCGACTATTACTTGAAAATTACCTACTTTTGGAGGGATCCCATGAAGATGATTTTCACACACACATCTGTAAAATCGCCTTTTCGGGACGACTGAATAAGCGCGAATTTTTTTTTTTTTTTACTAGCATAAGTGCAAATGGCGTAAGTGCGAGCTGGCATAAATGCGATTTGGTTTAAGTGCAAGCATAAGTGCCAAGCAGTTACAAAAACTGGCACAAGTGCGAACTGGCATTAGTGCGAATTGGCATAAGTGCGCCGAATAAAATTGAATATATTGGCATAAGTGCAAATTGTTAAATTTTTTTTTTCTGAAATAACCTGACAAAATTTATCTTTTACAATAAACCATAGAAGTAGTATACAAAATAAACTTTTATAAATGTTTTAAACCATCTTCATGTTTTCCAACTAATACAACCTATTACTTTTCAAGTCTTCTGTCAACAGTTCCCTTTCTCTTTAACAGTATTCTTTGTTTTCTAGTAACTTTTAACTTAATAGTAGTTATTTGCAGCGTTGTTAGTAGTGAGTTAATAATAATAAAAAAAAAAATACCGGAAAATTGGCATTAACTGTACGGAGCGCAGATTCTTGCTTTTTTTAAAAAAGAAAATACAATGTTTACTTTTGTTTTTATATAGTTGGGTAAATAATAAACATTCTTTCCAGATACGAAAAAGAAAAAAATTGAAAATTAGAGTGACGATTGTAAAAAGATGAACTTAAAAATCTTTTACTCGCGCTTCTTGCGCTTATTTTTTAGTTTTTTTTTTTACAAGTTTTCAAAAATCAGAATATAATGTTTGCAATTAATAAACTTTTTTGGGTCACAATTAAGTCACGAGATTTATCAAATGTCTATTATATTGTAATGGAATAAATCCAACAAAGGTTATGTATAAACAATGACAATTTTTAATTAAAAATGTTTTTTTTTCTCCTAAATATATCAACAAAATGCTGTTTTATATGCTAAATATATCAATAACATGCTGCTATACGATAAATAATCTGCAAAAATGTGTAAAATAATAGTTTATTTTACATTAAAACATAAGTTGAATAAAAACCTAATTTAAATAGTTATTTTTGGAGACATTGATATCACCATAAGACATGTATCACCATAAGAGAAATTATCAATAGTTTCATGGTATATGTTCTTTTTTAAACCGTTTTTATTAGGTTTATCTACTTTATTTTTAGTTTAATTTTTAAATTTTAGGGATACTAAATTATTAAAGATATAGAGCTCAACAACATCATTGAATCATCAAATTCATATTGTCACAAAGAAATAAAAAAATGTCATTAAGAAAAAAGGTTTATTATTTTATGTTTGTAATAGTACAATTTTGTTTTGTGATATAATAGTTGTTTAGATCTTTTTAAATATAACAAAATTGCAGTTGTTGAAATATTGTTTTTTTGTTAAGTTCAATAATTAAAGTTAATTTTATTACAATTGTTTAGTGGGAAGTCAAAGAGGGAAATTATTAGTTGACTAGAAAAGATACTAATAAATAAATGCAATAGTCCTAAGAATCTATGTGAAAAAAAGATTGCTTAGTAGAAATAATAAATGTTGCAACAAGATTGTTTAAATCCACAATGGCTATAATAAAGCAACAAACACAACACACAAACGTAAACTGGTTGAAAAGAAAAACACAATGACAAAATCAAAATGCACTTTAAAGATTTTATTATTAGATTTAGCAGTGGTTGAGACAGGGCTAGAAAAAAATTTATTATACTTTACATATTTTTATTTATATACTTACATCTACTATATTTTATATATTTTATATTTAAATATTATTATACTTATATATTCTATTTATATACTTACGTTTATTATTTATTAAATACTGGTGTATATATTTAAATATTTTTAAACTCTAATTTACTTTCAACAAAGTTGCAAGCAACAACTTATAAGTTATAAGTTACTTTAAAATAGAGGATAGGTTAAAAAGCTAAAAAACAGTTAACTGAAGACTTAAACAGTTGTAGGTTGTATAAAAAAAGAAAACATGAAGATGAGCAAGAGTTATAAGGTTTTTTGATGTGAAAGGAAAAAAAAATAGTTTAATAAAAGTTTTATAGCATGAAGGAACAGATACAGTAAAAGGATGTAACTTGTTGAGTAAGAAACCACTCAAGAATGAGTTTTGGTTTATCTTAATAGAGATGATAGCTCGTTTGAGCATTGACCCTAATTAAAAAACAGCATAAAAAGGAAGGCTAAAGCCTGATGATAATGATCACAATGATGATGGCGATAATGATGATGATGATGATGATAATGATGATGATGATAATTATGATGATAATGATGATAATAATGATGATGATGATGATGATGATGATGATGATGACGATGATGATGATGATAATGATGATGATGATGATGATAATGATGATGTTCATAATGATAATGATGATGTAGATGATGGTAATAATGATAATTATTATGATCATGAAGGTAATGATGATTATGTTGATCATAATCATCATTACCTTCATTAATCATAATCATCATTACCTTGATGATGTTTATATATGCATATATACAAAATATAGCATGTGTTTTGTATAAAAACAGGATACTTTAGGATGTATAAATGTTTATACAGACCCAGTCACAAATTTGACCCTGGCTATATTTTAAAAAACCTGGCCCCGGCTCTGGTCAAATATTTACCCTGGTTGCTTACTAGTGCTAAGTTATGGTCATGAACATGACTCTGCCACAAGAATGATAATATAAAAAACTCTGTAGATCCATAAGTTATAGTTTTATAGTATTCAACAACATTTAAAAGTCTTAAATATTTATTTTTACATATTGTAAAGTAAATAAAAATTGGTCTTACAAAGACTATTTAATGTTTAAAATAAGAGTTGAGTTAAGTATAATGGATTCTTTTTATTTTCTAAAATTTGGTTGCCTCAAAAAGTCCACCATGCGTGATCACACAGAAAAATGTGTATTCGAGCCTTCCTGGAAAAACATTTATAGTAATTTTTTTAGACACGCTGACCATGGCAGTTCGTATTTTCCAACTTTGAAGCATTTCAATAATTTGCAGCAAAAAGCTAAACTAATTGACTGAGGGAAAGAAAAAAAAAAAACAACTCTAAAAAATGGAAAATAAGAAAATAAATTGCTATTGGTTTGTAATATATATTATTTGATTAATAAATTTTGTAATGACGGAATAAATTAAATAAAAAAATAATATGGTTTCTTTTATAAATGTGTTTACCGCATATGATAATCGTCTAAAATTATTTTTTTTATATTGCCCAATTTCCAATGTTAATACAAACTATTAGAGATAATGAACATACGATTGCTCTTTTTGAAAAAGTGTAGAGCAAACGGACCAATTAATTGCCACAAGTTTCTTAAAGCTGTGAAGGATGCCTTAATGTAACAGTGAATTTATTTTTTTACTGTTTTATTAATGACCAACGCCTACACCTTATAAGAATTTTTTTTAGTTTTAAAACATGCTTAATTCAGAAAAAAAATCTATTTAAACAGAGATTTTAATTGTGTATCAATTAATGGCCAGATAGACCAAATAGTAGCTAGTAAATTAGGAAATTATATTACCCAAAATTGACATATCTAAAAATGCTTATATATTAAAAAGTATTATCCAGACAGATTAAAGCTTAATAATAAACTAATCTTAAATAAACTTATATATTAAAAAGTATAATCCAGACAGATTAATCATAATCTTAGTCAATTAGCTTAATCATAAACTTAGATCCACTTTATAAACCAAGATTATTTTTTAAAAAGTAAAGTTTTCTATACTTTGCTTAAAAATATTATTTTGGTTTATAATAAACAAAAACACTCAAACAGTATCAGGGTGTTACCCAGGAAAAAATTTCATACAGTGTTTTTGCGAAATTGGGAATTTAGGTGCGGCTAAAAAAAAAAAAAAAAAAAAATCCTTACATTCTGCAATTAAATTTTAATCAAAATAAACTTTCTATTTTTGCTGGGAGTTACATTTACAGCAGGATTATTTTTCTACTTTATATATGTTTAATTTTAATTAATCAACTATTGTTTCAACTAATGTTTCATTAAGTTCTAAAGTTTTTATTTAAATCGCTTCTTTTCTTTGTTTTTGATATACTGCAGCCGTTTTTCAAAACGCCTTAATTACGTATTTTGAGAAAAGTGCAATTAAAATTTTTTTTTTCTTTTTACTATGTTCTTATAAACCTTTGGGAATTTTAAACCAATTGGGAATAACGCGTTATACGCGGTGCCATCAGGCTGGGTAACACCCTGAGTATTTATTTGTGATTCAAATAAAGACAGTCTAACAAAAGAAACTTTTTAATTACTTCTATATAACTTCAAGCATAGAACAAATTTTGAATAAAAAATAGCTCTAGCACACAGCTGTTATAAGATTTTAACTTGCATATAATAATGCAATTTTTAATATATGGACAAACTTAACAGTAGTATATTAAGAAGTTTTGATAATGAACTATTGATAATCTATTTAAATGAGCTCACTAATATTATTATCAATGAATTGTATTCTCTGGTACTTCAATTGAAATTTTTTGATTATCTGAAGAGATATTGACTCAATATCTTTAGAATTGAACTGATTTTTCTCATTTTAACTGAGTCAGCTTTTTTAGATAACTCAGTCAAAATGAATCTCTTTCTTTTGTTGTGTGAATCTCTTTCTTTTGTTCTTTTCTTTTCTTTTTCTTTTTGCTTTTTCAATTTTTTCTCTTTAGCTGCTACGGCTTTTTATTTTTTCAATTTTATCTCATTGTTCAATTTAGATTGTATTGCTTCTTGAAAAGTTAATACAAAATATTTTTGAACTTTTTTTTGATTTTCTTATGTCTTGGTAGCATATATATTTAGATTAGGCAAAATATCATTGTCACTATCATTAGTTGAATGCTTTGTACACGAAATAGTTGGTGTTAGACTAGGCTGAATAATGGCTTCAATTGACATCTGATTACAATGATCAGTGGTTTTATTGGAAAAAAAACTAGACTGTCCAGTTGTTTCATTTGGAACAGGAATTAGAATTAAACTATGGATTCATTTGACATTGGATCAGAGTCATCCATTCCTAAAATGGCATTTGTACATGAAATCTGTTTCAGTTTGAATTCTTTATATAATTTATACAAAGGATCTGGGATATTGTAGCCATTTTGAATACAGAAGTTGAAAGTTGTAGTTGAAAGTTGTAGTTAAAAGTTGTTAACTGCTCATGAGTTTTATGTGTATCCCATATCAAAGAAGCAGTAACATTGTCAAGGTGTACCAAATTACTATCTATTTTACATTCAGACATGCTTTCAGGTTTATTTGTGCCTAATTCTACTTCAAAATCGACTTCCTCTTCTATTGCATTTTCAAAACCTGTTATTCTAGTGTCAGTTTTAATTGAGTGTAGACTTGATTCAAGCAGATCATTTTTGTCAAGTAGCTGTTGTATGGAATAGACAGAATTAGGTAAGTAAGCTGTGCCACATAATTGAAACCCCTAAATAATATTGGCAGCTGTGGGATTGATCCCAGGTTTCCTAAAAAAACCCACAAATATTTGACTTGTCAACACTAACTCTCGAATATTCATTAATTCCTGACATGTTTGATTATAATATTGAGCGATCTAGAGGCTGAAGCCAATAGGAACAATGTGCTGGCATTTCCACAATATGAATGTTATTTTTGACTGCAACAGACAATAAATCAACAGAGTTATGAGAATCGTGACCATTGACTATGAGAATTTGTGGCCTTTCTCTACCTATATTAGACAAAAAAGTATTGGTGAACCAAAGAAATGCAATTCCTTGCTTTGTTCAACTTGTTTCAACAAATTTAAGCCTGATGGTGCATGTGCATTATTAAAAGAATGAAGAGATCTTGTTGTTTTACCATTTGGTACTAAACCACTTGCAGTATTTACAGCTGCAATAATGGTTATGGTTTCATGTTTTCCAGATGTGCAAGATTGAAGGTGGTTTGTACCTCTTTTTGCAATTATTTTTGGAGGTTCTGTAGCCCATCTGTAGCCCAGACTCATCCATATTCCAAATCAATGAAGGCTTTAAAAGCGCATGTGTCTTCCTCAAAACTTCATGTAGTGAATATAAATATTGAGCTACTTTTGGTAAAGACATGCATTTATGGCGAACTGAAGAACCACATTCAGGCTTTTGCAAAACTAAATTAGTATGTCGCTGGTTAAATGAGTGCCACCACTTTTCTAAAAGAGCTGAATGTTTAAACTTCAAGTTGT